GCTTTGGCGTGTCCGTCCCTTTTATGACATACTTTCACATAACATTTTTGGGACAGCAGCAGTGCGTAAAAGTGTACCGAATGCGCAATTAGCATACCAAATGCTCAAAAAGCGAGAATCTCCACCCGAACCTTATATGCAACGCTTCTTCCTGTTTTCCTCTGGTTCTTCTGGCTACATTTAATTGTGCCCCTTCCAATTTGATATCATAATTTCAAAATACTTAACCATAAGTGGCTTAAGCTTGTTATCTGGCAATCAGGCAGCTAGCGAACAATTCAATATTTGGATATACATTAAAAAAATGTATTGACTGGTTTTATAAATATTAACCAATATAAAAATATGACTTTATTACATAAAAAAAGTAAATTTGTGAAATTTTACGATCTTATTCGTCTTGTGCGCGCTCAAATGAAAGAAGCTTGTGAGTCTTAAAAAACAATTTTAATTTAATTTGCAATCAAAGATCAAACACATGTGACATTGTCGAAAGTACTCAACTAGAAGATATCCTGTATACCATATTAAACTGTTATTCCAAAAATATCTCTACGCAAATCAATGCATCCATGCAACGAAACACATACATATATATATAGACATATATATACATTAGTTCGGACGGACTTATTCAAATGCCAAATTTAGTGAGTCTAGATCAAGAGAAGTGCCAGGTATGCTCATACAACGATAACGCTTTTAGCCGTGAAAAGTTATCGATTATTTTGAAAGAAAGTTAAGCTCGAGTGTCCTACGTGTTAAATTACAAGTTTTCTTTGCTTGTCAACTTTAGCTTAAATTTCTGCGCGCATCTACTTGAATGTGCCTAGAATAATCAATTTGATGAATTTAGAAACTATGTGCATGACATGCATGAGAGATTTATTTAATAAATAAATTTATAATATAAATATGTACTTGTATCTCATGCATGACATGCACATACATATATCTAAATTGAAGTCGCGTGCTTCTATCATTTGCATATGGCTCTAGCTCTGGCTTTTGTTCTCGTTCCCTTTCTGCGTTCGTGCTCTCTTTAAAGTAGAAAACAAGTTGAAAAATCCAATTTGCATATTCCTGAGAGTTTTTTCTATATTTATTTTAATGTGATTTAGAGCGTGGCTGCTAGGCCTATGAAAGTTACAAATTCGTGCACATTTCTAATGAGTTGGCCAACTAACTGGGCGTAACTTGGCGCCCACCCCTAGCTGAAACGTCCGCTCCCATGGGTAGATACCTGGCCCAACTGGAATTAACTGTGCGATTTTATCAGCTGTTGGCGCGGCACGTGTTTATTTCCCTGTTGCCTCCAAAAGCAAAGAGCTATGCAAATATTTTGCATACGAGCTACGTCACAATACTTAATTAGAGAGCTAATCGTGAAGCTAAGTCAAGTCGCAATTCTCTTTGCACTGTAGCCGTGCGAAAAGCGGGCATATTGAAGCGCAGCCCAGCTGTGTAACAGGCAAAGAGGAAGCACGACTGAATATATATATGGTTTCCTGATACTCAATTAAACATCCAAAATCCATAAGAAAACTAAGTTGTCTGAGGTAAGGCATTAGATTATTTAATTATTTAGCAAACAAAGCTAGGACATCCTACTTTTCAAGCATTATACGGGATATGTGCACTTATAGGTGCATAATTTAGATCACATTGTAGGGTATTCCCTAGTCTCGCATAGCCTTCACTTATATTTTAATGCTGATGTCATCTAGACTTTAGTAATTTTAATTAAAAACTCAAAGCAGCTGCCTTGCGTTGCCATATTCTGCGCGATTGGAGCTATTTCGGATTGCCAGGAGCGCAAACCAAACAAAATATATTTGACAAAACAAAAGTATATATCTTTAGATGTCAGCGAATAGATATCCTCGCCCAAGTTCACAGTAAACAACGGCGCACACGCTTGAGTCTGTAGTTATTTATTTATGAGAGTATAAAGCAGACACCATTTGAATTTATTGCCGGGGTCAGCTTTATAAACACTGCCCAAAATGTCGCAGTTGTGCGATTTTTCGCAGCGCAACGTTTCTCATCAAAGCTCATTAGTCGCAGGGAGTAGGGCACCACAGTTCGTATATGCCGTGCGTTTAATTTCATGAATTATTTAAAAAGATTTGATTAAGTGCGAGCTGTCATGCAGGCATAAGGCTCAACAACTGAATTTTGCTAGCAGATACCCTATAATCAGCGACAGCAGCTTATATCAAAGATGTATGCATCATGAATGACTCGACTGAATCGAGTTATAAATATATATAGAAATCGACTTGGGTTGTTCGTCCCATATCAGTTATAGATGATTGATAAGAAACTTAGCTTCTTCTATATATTTTCCTGATAGAAGAATTATGTGTATATATATAGACCTAGTAGTTGCCTTGCTAAAATACTCTTTATCTGCAGCTTTAAATGGCTAAGCGTTATAAAAGCGCCTTAATAAACTCATCCTTTAACACATTCAACAAATTCTTGCCAGCTTAAAGCCGGTTCCGACCTGAGTTGTGCCGTCAGTGCTGGCTAATCTAATCTTGCGGCTCTTAAGGCCACCCACGCTACTTTGCAGCAGCCACAAAACTTATCTAGTGTTCCACACAATTTGTCTTGGTGGCTGTTTTCTAATTATAAGTCCATATATATATATATAGATAGAGGGTTGAAATAGGCTTAATATTCAGTTAAAGCCAAGTACCGTATTTCCATCTTCATCATCGTCTTCATCGTCTTCGTCCCCATCATCGTCGCCGCCACCACCACCATCGCCGTCACCATCACCACCATCACCACCATCACCATCACCACCATCATCATCAGCATCGGCGGCTGCGATTTGCTTCTCTTCGCTGCGAGCCGCTTGTATTGTTGACTTTTCGCTGCTGCTGCCGATGCCACTGGAGGAGCCATTGCCTATGCCGCAGCCACTGGTGCTGCTGTTGCTGTTGCTGTTGGCGTTGCTGTTGCTGTTGTTATTGCCGCTACTGTTGTTGTTGGCGGTGGCCATGTTGCCAAGCAGACCCTGACCATGACCATTGGCAACTTGGTTTTTATTGCCGCCGCCAGCGCCGTTTGAGTTCGTGAGCATTGTGCAAAGCGGCCGGCAAACGGAAGCGCGCCTTTTACCCTGTTAAATTGTCAATTATAAGCAGCATTTCCACCAAACGGCGGCACTTTCACTTTTCCAACACTGACACACACACATACACACGCAGACACACGCCCACGTACGCGCACAAAATGTGGTCACAGCTGCGCCTTGGAGCTATAAAAACGTTTATGTTATTTCGAGTTGACTGTTTATTTTTTCGTATTTCACAACAAGTGCTCTCGGCTCTTGGCCAAGTTATTGTAAAGCAATTTATTGCAATTATATTGTTTTTTAAAACGTTTAACTTCACTTCAATTGAAACATGTCTTCGCTGCTGCACAGCGCTGCGTATGCGCAATATTTTAATTTATTAGGTTACCGTCGCCTGAGCCACAGATTTGTTAGAACAAAAAACAAAAAGTTTATTTTAATTGTTAATTAAAGTATTTAATTTTGTTCGGTTTGTAATAATTTCAACATGAGTTTCACATTTTGAAACCGTTTCGAATTGTTTTGAATTTTCTTCACTTTATTTTTATTTCTTTGAATTTAGGCCAGTTCTTTTTGGCTTGGTGGCGCCTAAGTTTAGGTGGTAATAAAAACGGTTTAGACATTTCGACGTCCGTCTTCCAAAATGCTTGTCTCGCACTGCAGCTCGGCCTACGCGCAACTGAACTACCGAAATGCGGCTAAAAGCTCAGCGAGCGGCAATACACTTCGGCATCGGCTTTCCCTTGCAGTTTTTCCGAGCCCTTGACGAGTTGGCGAAAGCTTTTCCCCACCCTCAGACAGGTACAGCTTGACTTTCTTGGCTCCATTCATGACCAAGGTTTCCATTTCACCCCGAAGCTCTCACTTTCGCTGCTGTCCTTCCGCTCACCCAAAATGGAAGTCGAAAGCTTTTGAAGTTGCCTGAAGAAACAAATCCAAGGTCTTCTCCCGCACTGCTTTTTTGTACAGTCGCAGCTGATTCGCGATTCCCAGACCAAATTATACAAAACTAACTGTTGACAAATTATTTACATCTATTCGATCAAATGCAAATCGCCTTTCGTGTTGCCCAAACATTTTTATCTATTATGAGCCCAAACATAAAGCACCTCAAGCGCCTCTCCACTGTGGCCAAAAACAATTTGTAAAACAATTTGCAAACAGCAAAGCCTAAAGGCAACCAAACTCTTTACGTACGTATCACTGCGTGCCTTGTGCTGAATTCAAATACGATTTCGACTAGCCAGAGAAACAACTGAAGCTATGCTATATAGCAGCATAAAGTATTCCAACTCAGCTCATACAATTAGTTAGTAAAAGTTTAATCAATGAAGTTTTAGCAGCGCAATAACTGCCGATTCGTGACTTTCTATAGGCCTGACTCAACTGATGACAACTGAATAATGCAAAGATAGTTAAGATTATATAAACAGTTATTATTATTGTACAAGAAATAAATAAAGTATAGTTCCCTTTTCCAAACATAATTAGACGCACTAATCAGGCTCGATATTAGCTATTCTGAACAACAAAATTGCCATAAAACTTTATTAATAATATATAAATATTATATTTAAGTAATACTGATACTAATAATATTTAACTTGATTGTAAATTAAATTAAATTTTTGCTTTATAGCAGTCGATTTTCTGTTTTCATCTTCTCGTTTCTAGCGAACTACAAAGCTAATTTGTAACTGTATTTAGTGCACATTTAGTTGTGCAATATTTTATGTATTTGAAGAGCTTCTAACACAAGTACAAGCATGCATCTCTTTTAAGGAAGCTGAATCTTAACTAACTTATCTTGATTTTCATTGAGTTAAATAAATAAGTTGATTTTCTGCTTTACCTTTGCTTTTCTATTCAATCTAAGCTGCTTCCACGTATTCGACATTTAAAAGCTGTAGACTAAAACAATTTTCCACGAAAATTAATTTTCAATTTTTGGTTTGATTTTTAGTTTTCATCTGCAACGGAAAAAGTTCAGACCAAACCCTAAACTAGAGCATGTTCGAATGCATAAATTATGATTTCTGCGTATCATAAATCATGGCAAATTGCAAATGGCGAATGTGAGAAAATTATTAATTTTACAGCCTGCATTAACTTATCCAATGCATAAGTACTTGGGCTGACCAATCAATGGATATTATTGTATTATTATGTTCTAAAGTATATTTAAAATTCAAAATTCTTTTTTTTTTATAGTCATTGGAAATTGATATTCAGGGTAGAATATTTTTGTGAAAATGTAGGTAATAGGCGGAAAAAGGCGTTATTTATTATTTGTTATTGATCAGAACGACTTGCCCAGTCGATCTAGCCTAGCAATCACAGCTAGTGTGAACGCAACGGTCTTGTAAATCAGAAAAGCTAGTGACTTGAAATTTTAAATCTATCTATATCTATCTATATATAATCCTGTATACCATAAGCAGTACCAGTTTATTATTATCATTTCAGATAGCTCATTCCATTTACTTAGATGAAAAAATCCTATTTGCCATTAGTTTCTATAATGAAGACGCACATTTTATATATTTTGGATTTTTGGAGTTTAGATACCTCTTCCGCTTCCTCCCAAAATTTGTAAGAAATACTAGAGACTTGCCCTTTGGTAAATATATACATATAAATGTGATTATCCTGCACTGCAAATTTGATTAAGAAACTTCAGCTAAACAGAAAAGTATTTCAAACAATGAAGTTCCCGCAGTGAAGGTCAAGTGCAGCTGCTGTGTCAACTGCGCAGTAAGCAGAGCCCAGGCTTATGTGTGGGTATGCGTGCCTATGTGTGTGTGTGTGTGCTTGTGCATGTATAAACGAAGCACAGATTGATGAGAATATCAGCTATTTAGAGGGCTCAGGATATCTCCTAGTCTAGCAGTCTCAACCATAGCACTCGCTCTTGTTTGTTTAAAATTTACTTGCAGATCTAATTCGCCAGCTGCCAAATCAACAACAACAACAACAAGGTTGTTGTTGCTGTTTTTCGTGAGCGTAACACATAAAGTTGCCTATGGCACGTGCTGCACGCAAATTAGATTACGTATACGCAACGTGGCCCGCCACTTGTTTACGCCAAATGTAAACATTTGTTTGCATTCATTTAAATGACAAAAGGAACAGACAAGTTCATGAAACATTTCAAGCATTGCAATAAAAGTTTTCTACAGCAATTTGATGAGTTTAAAGATTTTCGGCTCGCAAAAGGAAATTATTTCACTGCGCAACTTGTTTTGTCGTACTTTAATGCCATTATCTTGCAACGTCGCCTTCCATGCAAATTGCTTGCCGTCAATTAGAGAGAATACGGCCAGCGGGTCATTTGATCAATACTTGTTACTATCCTTGTGCGTTTCTTAGTTCGACTTGCCACTTGCCTGGCCTTGGCAAACAAAACTCTTCTCCAGTGAAAACCTTGAGCTTGGCTATAAACTTGCAACACGCGTAAAGCCAGTTGCAGCAGGAAGTTCACATTATTAGCCCAAAGCAATGCCTCCAATTGAAAGCCGTTGGCAAGATATCGCATGTCAAAGGCAAAGTACTGCGTATTAACTATTAAATATATATGATGTATATGCGTAAGTATTTATCTAAATTTGTGTGAATGCAAATATTGTTGAAACTGCAGCAGGCAGCTTTGCTTTGTGACCTCTAATTGCATTTTAACCATGCAGCATAACTTTAAGGAAAAGTTTACAATTATTAGTATGGAAAAGTTTTTTAAGTAAGGCAGAAGCTTTTAGCCATAAGCAGAAGCAATAGCAGCTTCTTATAACGAAATCAATTTTACCCAAAGTGGTCAAAGAGGCAAATTTTAACGAAATTAAAATATAATTTGAAATAGACAAGGGAATTGATTTACATTTTAACAATGCAACAAAACTTTACAGTTATGAGTATGGAAAGGTTAGCTCGTGTGCCGTATATCAAATAAAGCACATGCTTTTAGCCATGAGCAGGAGCAGTGACAGCTTCTTAGAAACGGAATCAAATTTATCAAAGTTGACAAAGAGCCAAATTTTAACGAAATTAAAATATAATTTGAAATAGACAAGAGGATTGATAGAAATTTGATCAGCTTTGCATAAGCTGGCTAAGAGCGTAGCCTTGAAAATTCTCAAGGTTAACTTAAAGCAGGTAAACTGTGATTTCAGTTATTAGAAGAGAGCAACGTGTTAAGCAAACCAAACTGACTTAAACTAAAAAATAGACTGTTTAAGTTCTCTTGCAGTCTTACAAACTTAAGGCTTGAACTGCTGGTTATAGCAACTCGGGTTCAACAGCCTTTGACCTGGCATATATAAACTGTATAATTAAATCCATATTACAATGCTTTTTCTGAACCTAAATGTTTCGGGTTGCGCTAAGAGGCTTCTCAGGAGCGGGCAATTAAATCTGTTGCCGAACGTCGCGGCGCAGCTTAATATTATCTTAACAGAATCGAACGAATCACCTGCACTTTAAGCATCACAATCTTGATCTCGACTTTATCGCGTGGCGAGCAGCTGGCGTGTGCATCGTCCAGTGGCAGGGGCAGGGGCCGGGGCTGAGTTTCCAGCTCTGAGAACTGTTTGTTGTTGCTGACTTGTGGGGCCGCTGCAATGGCAGCGTTGCCGCAGCTGATGAGGCTGGCATCGGGATGTATGAAACTCATGCTGAGCTTCTATTTGGAATAAATCAACTAAAAACTTCACTGCGCTGCGAGCACTCAATGAATATTCACATTGGTTGTGTAATTTTTCTTTTACTTTTTTTTTTAAATTTACTTTTTGTTTGTTTTGCTTTTGCTGCACTTTATATAATCACAACGGCAACAGGAATTTTGGTGTTTTTTATAGCGTACACATTGTGGGGCAGCATGTGCCAAGTGAATTTATTTCAATTATTAGAAATGAATTAGAAGAGCAACAGTTGTAATCACAGCACAGCCGAATCGCTGCGATCGCACTGAGGTTGAGGTAAGGGCCGCACAGCGAACAGTTCTTAGCTGCTTTTTTAATTTTGTTTGATTTTTTCTTTTTCCTCTTGTTTTTTTTTTTTTTTGGTTTGCTGAGTGTTGGTGTCTCGATTTCCGCCAGTGCCGCTCAAAAGGAAGCAAGAGCAACAGCACTTGTCTCCTATGGTATTTATAGCAGGCCCCCAAAAGCAGCAGAAGCCAGCAAGATCAACGGCAGCAAGCATCACAAATCTTTCTGCATGCTGCACTCTGCAACCGCTTCCGCCTGATGGCTCAAAGTCAAGTTCAAGTTTACTTAGCCACAAGCACAGAGCGGACGACAGCGTGACAGAGCCAGAGAGTGTAGAGAGGTATTGGCCAATTCATGACGTTCTGTTGTAGTTGATTTAGTTGCTGCCAGAACTACTAACCAACACACACACACACAAATTACGTCTACAGAGTGCTTGCCAAAAAAAAAAAAGAAACAAAAGGCATCTAGACGGCAATTGAATACACTTTTGCTATACTCTATCTAGTTATTAAATATTAAGAAGTTATCGATGGCTCTTATTCCAGAAGTCAAGTTTAGTTTATTTAGTTTTGAATTTAATTTACTTCATTTTAACTATCTGATACACAGCTATGATTTATGCCTCGCATTAACAAAGTTTCAGTCTTAGTTTTATATTAGTTTTTATATTAGATATATAAAAATTGGAAACTAGTCTGCATATAGTTATGTATGCGCTTTATAACTATATATTTTTATGTAGTCTTATACAGTCATCTATTGCTATAGCCTTATATTTCAATAGAATTATAATACCCATTCAATACACTGCTTTTAAAAACGCTCATACGCCCTGTCAGCCAGCAAGCAGTCGTTTGATTCGAATCTTTCCCTCTTTCAGTTCGTTTCGTTTGCTTAAGTGTTCGCTTGCTCTGTTGTTGTTGTTGTCGTTGTTGTTTTCCTTTTCAATGTTGCTTTCGTTCAAGTGTCCGCTTGTGTATTTGTTTAGTCTTGCTCGACAAGCATTTATTTGTTTTAATTTTTTTTTTGTTTTTGTTATATACTAAATTGTTGTTGTTTTTGGTTTTTTAACAATTATCACACGCAGCAGCAGTAGCTGTAGCAGCTGTCATAAGTCAAAACCTTATCGAGAATCGGTGATATATATATATATAGATATATATATGTGTATTTAATGTGCTCAACACGTTCTCCGCAGCACGTTTCACACTTGTGTTTGCCAAAGTAGTTAGCTTTAGTCTAAGCTAAATTTGTCATCTGTCTCAAATCAATAAGTGTTTCAGGATCTCAGTTGTCATTCTGATTATTGTTGCTGCAAATGTATTTGCTAATCAAAAAACCAATTTTCCATTGCGAATCTTCGTAATTTGATAGATTTTTGTAAATATAATTTAATTTATTTTACTGTTTGTAATCTTAGTTCTGAAAGTTAATTTCTGGATGTGCAATCAACAATCTTTGTATATTCCAGAGCAGCGTAATTTAGTGTCAGCCATTCATTTAACTTTTCAGTTTTGTTTGTGTTGTAACTTATTTTTATTTATAGACAGTTTGTCAACACTTTTTATGCAGTTTAAATTAATCGATTATCTAATAAGATCTTTTAACTACCAAAGCTGCTGCTGTCGCTGTTGCCGCTGCTGCTGTCGCTGCGGCTGCTGCTGTTGCTGCTACGGCATTCAAGCCTGCTTATATAAATTTCCCACAATGTGAGTTTGAATATTCGATTTGCTCATTAACATTGAATTCTGCATGAGAGAGATTATATATAGGTACATCTATGTATGTATATATATAAGTTTTTTCACCACTTTTTTGCGATTGCATAATTTGCATGTTACGTGGAAAAGTAAACATGACAATAACTATGCACTAAAAAGAATGTAAATAAAACTAACCCATTTTTCCCATTAAACCGAACGAATCAAATGATAATCGTGTGTAATATATATATATATATATAAAGTGACTGAGTTTAATTCTATGCTGCTGCAATTAGTCAATCATTAAAAACAGAACCAACTGCCAACAGAATCAAATGCTAAGAGCGTGCGGAGTTTTGTAGTGACTTTTACAGATACTGATACAGGTAAAAAGTTCATGCACATGACGTAGGTGTATTAAGTTGAGCACCAGTCATTAGTCATATATATGTAGGGTTTGATTATGGATGCATTTGTGTATAAATGGGGAAACCTGTCACGTGCCTCCCTGCAAGTACTTAGTACTAAATACTTCATGTCTAATGCGATACGCGGTGATTTTTGCAGCAGTATTTGCTTAAGCTCAGCCAAATGCATCGACTCTATAACGCTCGCTGAGTAATTCGTCAAAAGATCGTGTTTTCCTCCAGTTAGTGACCCCTTAAATAGGCGCAAAACCCGTTTGATATTTCATATTTCTTACTTCATTTTCGCTCTGATCTCGTAAAAAAACCTTTTCTTTAATTCATTTTATGCATAATTCATTGGGTTTGCGCCTCATTGCGCCGCGTCATGTGTAAATCGCGCGACGCTCGTGCCAATACAGATATATATGTATATATATCTATAATTATATATATAAATGTTTGTATATTCCCCCGAACCCTGTAATTTCCCACACACAGAGAACGCTCCAATAATTAACTGAAAGATTTCATAGCTACCGACTCTGACTAGACGTCGACAATTGCAGATTTTGAGCTAGCTAAATGAATAATTTTAATAGCAATAAACCACAAAATTGATGACTTTTTAATAAACGCATTGCGGCAAATAGTGAAATTCTATTTTTACCCGATATTAATGACCTTATGCGATTTTTCCTGAACTAAGCAGGATCGTAAAACGCTTTGTTTAAAGCAATAAATAACAATTATCAGTTCAATTTAGGAGTGCCAATTGTCATTTGATTTATAGAAAACATACAATATAATAGCATGCATATTTTGAAGGGTTTTCCTAATGTTGATGATATGGTAACACTGTTTACATAAGTAGGAAATTACATTGCAATAGATATGGTCACCCTTTTTACATAGTCTGTAAGCTGCAGGTTGTATTTTAAATTTATAGGTTTTTTAAATTGATTTCAATTCATTAATCAATCACAGTTTGATTTAATATCTCTTAAGAACTTACCTATTTATTTGTTTTGGTATCACTGATATCCAGTCAGGATCAGTTGGCTATTCTTGGTATCATATTCCTTTGTATTCGCACTTTGTCAGTAAAATTTGGTTTTCTTTTTTGAGTTGTGTGACAAATATCCTTTGTGTTTTGGTTCACTCGAAACGATCCTCGTCCGTTCACAGCGAGCATAAAACGGATACTGATTGCAATGCCAATTCGCTTGTTTTCTTCACACTTCATTCAAAGTGCCAAAACTCAAGCTCTAGTAGTTTCTACACACACACGCACACTCGCACACATCCGAGCACAATGTCGCCAACTGGCGACAGAAGAAATATATATGATAACTGTATTTATATATTAAGTAAATATTTATGTTAATAAACAGCGAATCAAAAGAACTGCGAACTGCGAACAGCAAAAACAGACCGCTTATTTGCTTTTAGAATTTAGCACTTGTTGCGAAATGAAAACCGTTTTTGAAACTGAACTCAACGCGCGGACTGAGGTCGCGCGCCAAACGAGCGAGAAAAAAATAAGATAAGCCGAAAGAGAACAACAATACCGACCTAGACCCAATCGGCAATCAACGATCATCGACGGCGGCTGCCGATTAGCGATGGCCGATTGCCGCGAGCGGTTAACCGATGACGCAGTTGCCGATAACAAACAGCGCTCAGCGACGACATGTTAGAATAAGCCGACGAAGAGGAAGAGCCCTATATAAACGGGTAACGAGCGTGGAAATTTTTATTTACCGCACGCTCTGCATGTTCGATTAATTTGCACATTTCCTTTACGATTTGCTTAGTTACAATTAGTTTAACTAATCTAGTTTATTGATTTGCCTTTAGCATATAAACCGGTTCTAGTCAGTTCTTCCTCTTATTCACTGATTTGACTTTCTTTTAATTTTTGTTGAGCACAAACAAAAAATAATAAAACAATCATATGATTTGATTAACATTTAATAACTAATTTACAAATTAAGCTTAAACTCGTTTTTAACCAAAAAAAAAATGGTGTCACGTTCACTTGGCACGAGCTCCATTTATCACGAGCTCCATTTATCACGAACTTTTGTTTTGGAGTCGACTACAAACAGATCCTTCAAGTTTGTCAAGAGAATACGTAATATTTGATCAAGCAAAGTTGTAACTTGTGCTGCGATCATAAAACTTTTATGGATTTACCAATTAAAACCCAACATACCCATAATGAGCTTTGTTATTCTTTGGATACTAAAGTTCTGAATATTTAAATGAATATTTCTGAATCTTATTGAAGTTTTTAATAGGTATTTATGCATAGCTCAGAGTTCTGGCGAATTGATTGGCATTTATTTTCTTTCTCGAAGAATAATCAGATTTTAATATCATAATATGTATGAGTAAATGATTGAGCTTGTATAAAAATAATATATTTTATCTCTTGATTAAGCTGATCTTAAGTTATAAGATTCAAGGCGCAGTGAATTCACAAAAAACCTCAAAAAGGACTATAATTTAATTTTCGTATAATATAATTCATATTCACTTACTGAACAGCTGTCCTACGTCTTTGCTCGCAATCTCTGTCACTATAAGCGATGCTTGTCCTTCAGAAAGGAAAGCAAGGTATTTCATATACCATAAATATGGTTTTAATTACAAAGGACTACAAGTATTTTTCTATTAATAATAGTTGTTGACACACCTTCAGCTGAGTTCGAGCATTTACATTCTTTTCCAGTTGCGAAATGAATAACTTATCGGATGTTTTTCATAACTCTACAAATACAAGCAGCGCTATCAAATTTATGCAATTTATGCTAATTACTTTTGACGATTTGATTTCGCCAACAACAGAACAAAAGTTAAGTGTAAATAAAGGCGACAAATGGGCAGGCTGGAAATTTTGGGGAGTTGGAGAGCAAAGCGAAAAATTGATATCGTGCGTTTAACCTTGTTATTGAACTCGCTGTCAACTGTTTTTTGTTTTTGCTTTTTTGCCTGTTGCCTGCTGAGATTTGCTCGCGATGTTTTTCGCAGCTTCCAACTAAGTGAGCCCTATTAAATGCGATAACATCATCAACAACAACAACAGCGCGCTAGGTGACAATATTTTGTCAAAAAAAAATATAATAATAATAACAATAACATTTTTTCTGTCGCTAATTTCATTAATTTACGTTGTGTTTATTTACCTCTGCAATTCGCATCTGCATTTCACATCATCATTATTTGCATATGTGTCAGTCGAAATGGATAAAGCTCATATCATGAATTAATATCGATTCGATTATGATTATAATATGTAAATATAAATTATATAAACTGACTCATAATTGAGAGCCTGAAAGAAAACATGCCAGAGTGCTCGACTGGGAGATACCCATAGCTTAATACATACATATGCACACATGTACACATACATTTACATACACAACCATACACATATACTAAGGGTCTGTTTCTTCTCAATAGAAAATTCTTTATTGAATCACTTTGGCATTTTGATACGACTCAGACCAGCATTGCAATTATGCTCAAGCTCAACTGAGCTTCTTCAAAAATATACTGAACGTTATGTATATTAATATTTTTAATATAGTTCAATTCAATCCAAACTCAACATTCGCTGATTATAGGTAAACAGTTCTACAAGATATTTTCAGATATCTGATATCTGTTATAGACGGAGGAGCATTGTTCCGTTTATTAAACATGAAGGCTTATAGACTATGTCTGCCTGCCTTTTGCTAGCATTTTTACGGAATCATTATACCCTATAAATCAAACCAAATCAAATTTTCAATGAATGTTGATTATATGGCAATTTATTGCAATCAAATTTACATAATATACATCAAATGTTTTAAGGTCAGCTAGTTGTGTAATTTACTTTTTGGGACGATAAGGTTTAGCTGCGTTTTCCTGCGGTTGTCATCCCAGTGGTGACTTTCGTCGTGATGTTCGGAAGTTTTCTACAATGTCGAACTGATCGCAGCCGTGGGAACTGCCGCCTTTGGCACCGGGATGTGGCAAGGGCAATTCCACAATGTACATATTTTGGGCCAAATTATCTAACTTTTTGTTAATGGCTGAAATCGAGAGGCTTACAAGGCTTAGATCAAAAAAGGCAGTGAACGCATTTACATATATAGTTGGGATTCCGTATAAAAGTTTTCTGCTTAGGTCTGGCATAGCCCGGCCCGTTGGCTCTATCTATTGGCTTATCAGCATCTTCCGGTTCTTCTACGTCACTTTGCGGAGAGGGTTTGCAAATAATGTTGGCATGCAACGTAGACACGCAGAGACAAAGATAGATCAAATAAGCAAAATATAATCGGCCTCTATTCATATTCAACTTTTAACAGCAAGTGGCGAGTGGTTGCCTATATCGTATACCATCGCATTAGTTTCGCTTTTCTTGTGTGCTATAAGCTAGTAAAGCCATCAAGTGTAACAAAACTAATTCATTTCATTATGCTGACGTAGGAAAGCGCTTCAAATTTAAATTTGTATTTCATAGCAAGAAGCTTTGTAACGTGCACGTAGGTATAACACGTAGGTATAACAATGGAAGTTATCGACTTGCCTCCGCAATCTTACTAGAAATGTGTATCATTGTGAATATAGAGTACGGCCACACTTTTACTGTTCGCGTCTAATTTATCTAGAAATGTGTGAAATTTGTTAATTTTCTTCGATTTACTAAAAAACAGAAATGCCGCCGACTATAAACAATTCGGCAGTCAATAGTGCCGCCGAAAAGCGACCACAGCGCCAAACAGAACGCAAGTAAGTATTAATAAACCATTTATGCCAACTCCACGACCTAACCTGTTTGCTTTGACTATGCCTAGATCTGAAATAATTTGCCGCGTTAAATACGGCAATAATCTACCGGATATACCATTCGATCTGAAGTTTCTGCAGTATCCTTTTGACAGCAATCGTTTTGTGCAGTATAATCCCACATCGCTGGAACGGAATTTCAAATACGATGTACTGACTGAACACGATTTGGGTGTCACAGTAGATCTTATCAATCGGGATCTATACCAGGCCGATCCCATGTCCCAATTGGATCCGGCAGATGAAAAACTGCTGGAAGAAGAGACATTGACACCAACAGATTCGGTGCGCTCTCGACAACATTCGCGCACTGTGTCCTGGTTGCGAAAATCCGAGTATATTTCTACTGAGCAAACGCGCTTCCAGCCGCAGAACCTGGAGAATATTGAGGCCAAGGTTGGCTACAATGTGAAAAAATCGTTGCGCGAGGAGACCCTATATCTGGATCGCGATGCTCAAATCAAGGCCATCGAAAAGACATTTAGTGATACCAAGAACGACATTACCAAGCACTACTCCAAGCCAAATGTGGTGCCGGTTGAGGTTCTACCCATATTCCCCGACTTTACCAATTGGAAGTATCCATGTGCTCAAGTCATCTTCGACAGCGATCCAGCACCACAGGGCAAAAATGTGCCCGCGCAGCTGGAGGAGATGTCGCAGGCCATGATTCGTGGTGTGATGGACGAGAGTGGAGAACAGTTTGTCGCCTACTTTCTGCCCACAGAGCCAACATTGGAAAAGCGTCGTACAGATTTCGTGGCCGGCGAACTCTACAAGGACGATGAGGAGTATGAATATAAAATTGCACGAGAATACAATTGGAATGTCAAGACAAAAGCATCCAAGGGCTATGAGGAGAATTACTTCTTTGTCATGCGACAAGATGGCATCTACTACAACGAGTTGGAGACACGTGTGCGTCTTAACAAGCGCCGCGTCAAAGTCGGCCAGCAACCCAACAACACGAAACTGGTGCGTATTGAAAGTATTTCAATGAACTTTTAAGTAATTCCTGTTTGGTGTATCTGTTTGGCTTTACAGGTGGTTAAGCATCGACCACTGGACGCAATGGAGCATCGCATGCAACGCTATCGAGAACGCCAGCTGGAGGTTCCTGGTGAAGAGGAGGAAGAGGAAGACGATGAAGAAATGGAAGTCGATGACCAGCAAATGCAGCCAGCGGCTGTGCAGGAAAAGCCAGCAGCAGAGAACACAGTCAAATCAAAGATTCCTTCTGATGATGTAGCACCTGCTGGCAACACCACACCTGTCCCAGATGCACAGCAGCAACGCGAACGACAGTCACGCTCCAGAACCCACTCTGGTGGCACTCGTTCGCGCACGCGTAGTGGCAGCGGCAGTGGCAGTGCAGCCAGCGGTTCGCGCAGTCGCAGCCGCTCTAGCTCGGCCAGCGGCTCTGCCTCACGTGCCAGCAGCCGATCCAAATCAGGAACACGCTCACCAAGTGGCTCACGTTCACGCTCTCAAACGCCAGCTGGCTCACATAAGTCCCGCAGTCGCAGTCGATCCAAATCGAAATCGCAATCAAAATCCAAATCCAAATCAAAGTCGCGCAGTCGTAGTCGCAGTGCATCCGGATCGCGTTCTGGCTCAGTCTCACACTCGCCAAGCCGCTCACGCAGCGCTACTCCTAGCGGCTCGGGCTCCAGCTCTGGCAGCGCTAGCGAAGAAGAATAAACTAAACGTAATCTTCTGCATGTAATTTACGAGTAATACACAAAATGTACACAAAATAAAAACAACAAATGAATTCGGAACACGATTACGTAGCGTCCATGAGAAAGTTACGGAAGAGCTCACCATCCGAGCTGGCTTGCTCTGTTTGCTGCGGCGAGTAGAGGCGCAAATTCTGCAACTGCTGGAGCGGGGAACTGCTACCATCAAAGTGTACGCCACTGTCCATGACAACCGGCTGTGGTTGCTGCGGCAGCTCAACACTGCAAATGCCCAACTTCTGGCAGCTCTCAACGACAATGTCATCAATCGTTTGCGAGAGCAACGCCTCCTGATCGCTGCCATTCATTTGAATGGCCGTATTACTTGCCGTATGCTCAGCCTGCACGGTGGCCACACTCGCATTGGACTCCAGCAACGCCTTGATCAGTTGTTCCGGTGTTTGTGGCTCCTCAGCGTTGGCGGCACATTTGTGTGTTCGCAACGAGACCTTGTAGCGAAATGTCTTCTGGCACAGCTCACACTTGTAGGGCATGACTCCAGTATGGATGCGTGTGTGCACCAGAAAGGAGACACGTTGCCGAAAGCATTTACCTATATGAAATAGTTTCGATAAGTTTGGCTGCTGCACTCGTAACTATCAGATAACCACTAAGCATGGACAGATATATGTATGAAGTATATGTAATATATATGGAAATGATATACACTAATCGTAATCTTGGTATAACCTACCGCAGACCTCGCACTTGAAGGGCTTCTCCCCGCTGTGGATGCGCTGATGATTGTGCAGCGTGGACAGCTCCTTGAAGGCACGTCCGCAAATGCCGCAAGCGTGCGGCTTCACCTCACTGTGGTAGAGTAAATGCTTGTGATAGGATTGCTGGAAGGTGAAGGTTCTGGCGCAGTACTGGCAGGTGTAGGGCATCTCTCCCGTGTGCAGACGCTTGTGCTTCTTCAAGAAATATTTGGTGGTGAACATTTTGGTGCACACATCGCACTCCCAGTTCTTGGGCGTGCTGCCGTACTCCGAACCAGGCGCTGCCTCCGTTGCAGCTGGCAACTCCTGCTTGAGCATGTAGATGGCACCACTCAGTGCATACGGCTGGGTGTTGTTCGCTGTGGCAGCGCTGCTGCCATTGCTCGAGGAAGCCTCCTTGTGCCGAATGCGATCGCAAATGCTTATTTTGGGCGTGGCATTAATGATGTGGCCATTGGTGGTGCTCGTATTGTTGTTTTGGTTAGTGTTGCTGTTGTTGTTATTGTTGATTTGATTGGCGCTGTTGGCGCTGCTGCTGGCACTGGCAATAGCGCCGACCGTGTGCAACACCTTGAGATGGACACGCAACGAACCCTTCATGCGAAACGTCTTAGAGCACAGGTGGCACTTGTAGGGCTCCTGCTGCTGTCCCAGCGTCGGCTCCGTTATCTCCGCATTCTCATGCACCAGCCGAAAGTGAATGTCACGCAGCTCCTCATTACGAAAATTAAACTCACAAATGTCACATCTGGCTGGAGGCGTGGCAGGCGGTGGAGTTGGTTGTTCGACGGGTTTGGCCCGCGACTTTTTGCCACGTCGCTTAGCAACTGCCGCAGCTGGAGGCGGACTAGCTGCAGCGGGGCAATTAGTCGGGGGAAGAATAGTTGAAGCAGCCTCTGATGCAGTGGGAGTGGCGACGGCTGGAGAAGCTGTAACTGGCGATGGGTCTATGTCAGGCTGACTCATCAGACTAGTGTGACTAAACAGATGTATGGTCAGCTTGTCCAGACCCAGGAAGAGCTCGGTGCAGTTGGGAAAGGGACAGGCCAAAGGTCCATTGGCCGCCTTGATCAGGCGCTGCTGCAGTGCGTCGATGCTATTGAAACTCGGCACCGCGCACAAGGGACACAATACGGACGTGGAGCACATGGCGCAAACACTTTTTACACACTGGGAAACTGGGAACACCTTTTCAATATGCAAACAAATCCTCAACCATTGCGCTGACCGACAAAAACTTGAAAAAAATCATTTTTTCTTTTGCCTATTGAGATATTTTCTAAAAATACTTGCAACGAAAATATTGAAAGAAAAATTGTGTGCCGACGGCGACGGCGACGACGTTCGTCTGGGCGATATCGAAAATAATGAAAAATATTGCGCTCCCAGGCCGGCGAGTATTGAAAAAGCCAGCCGAATTTTCGAAAACTACGAGCCGAACCGTTCCGAAAAGTGGCCCGCAGACAGCTGTCCGCTGCTTCCTCTTCCAAGTGTCTTCTGGTAACAACGCAAGACTCGTCGGCCAGTGGGCGGATCTAGTGCAACAGAGCTCTTGGCTCTTTGTTTTGATCTTGTCATTTAAATGATTCGTAATGGGGCAGCTGCCGCGCAGAGTCCACAGGCAAAAAAACAAATATTTCTAAAGAAAATTGAACAGTTTTTAAATGGGTCATAGCTAAAAGTGCTGAAAGGGTAGACTTGCGAAAGGCAAATATAAATATTATATTATATATATAATAATAATAATATATAATATATTATAATTATTATATTTTATATTATTATATTTTATAGGACATGCTCTATAAGAAGTAGTGGGTCAGCTAGAGGTGTCTTTAGTCTTTTTTTTTAAATAATTCTGGAGCAGCAATCACAGGTCTTTGACTCTGAGTTGCCCGTCCATCAGTCAGTTGCGTTTTAATGCCTTTTAAGATGTTACTGAGTGGAGAAAGGCAAAAATAAAATCTGACGTCCCTTTCTGCATGTGAATATATAAATTCCGTCCTTGAATGTATCAAAGAGCTCTTTTTCTTTTTAAATTATCTTAAGATTGTTTTATAGACACTTTAGAGCATAAGAAAACAATATGATTTGGGTTGCTTGCTGAACATTTAATTAGTTGAGTTACCTTAGTAATATTATTTAAACTGGGCGCCCAGTTCTAAAAGGTTTAGAGACAAGTTAAGAGTATGCTCGTAGCCGGCTCGTGCGCAAAAAGCTCTCAGTCAAGGGTATTCGGTAGCTGTGTAGAATTAAACTCTATTTATAATCAATTGCTATATACTACAGATATAGTATATATATATGTGCTGCTCTCTGGCTGCTTGTTGATTTTTGGTCAGCGCTTTGTTGTGAGCTTTTTTTATGGCTCTTCGTGTTTTCCTATTCGTGTTTCTCTTTGGCTGTCCGATTTGTAAACAGTTCATTGGCCAAAGCACGTGAGTGGAGGAAATAGTAACGGTAAAAGGAAAAGAGAATTGGAAAAAATTGCAGCGAATCATTTCTTCTTTTTAGCCGGAAAGTCCAGGGAGACGACGCTAATGTGCGCCGAGTTGGGCTCCTCCTTGCCCAAGCTCAACTCGGAGGCGGAGGAGCGTGCGCTGTAACCTGTTGAGAGAGGACAGTACAGTCAGTCGCTTCATAGTGACAACTGGCCACATACCTTTGACTGAGTAGCAGTCCAGCGAGGAGTACGACGTGGTCCTGGAGGACACGCGACTGCGCGCGGGCTTCAAGTGCTGCGGCAGCTTAATGCCCTTGTCCAGCATATAGGCTATTATTTCGGCACCATCCTGATCGCTATTGGTCATGTCGCACAGCAGATTTAGCACCTTTCTGTTCCGGTTCTCCAACTCCTGCAGATTGAGATCGCGTTCGAATAGCGACAGAAAGTCCGCACTTATGGCCTTCTGTTTGATTTCCTTGAGCAGAAATTGTATCTCGCGATTGGCTCGGTCAATTTTGGAGTTCTGCTCCTGCAGTTCCTTCTTTAGTTTTTGCAACGTTTCCGTATCGTCCAAGCACTTCTGCTTTTCGGCTTCGATATCCAGCATTAGGCGCTCCAGCTCCTGGTTTTGCTGCTCGATTTCATTTTCGTAAGCCTCCGCCTTGCAGCGCAACATCTTCAGCTTCTTGAGCTCCATGCAGTAGCTCTCCTGCACTTTCTGTAGCTCCTCCTCGGCGCGCTGTTCATCTGTGAAGAAGAGCAAACTATTATTTACTGTTGTATTTAAATGCTGGGAAATTCACTCTCAAGATAAAATAGCAATAGGAAGATCTAAGATCTACGATCTCCTTTCCATTCACATTTAAATTGCAAATTATTTACACTATTAAAGCCTCGGGTATTGGAATCTAAATACGAACCCTTTGAATTATCTTCGTAGGTTCTTAGATTCTTGCGGTAGTTGTCATTGGACTTATCAAATTGGCGCAGCGTATTCTCCAGACCGATCACCTCCTTCTCGGCCTTGAGCACCTTTTTATTAAGAGCATCGCCCTCGTCGGCGAGCAGCTGACGCTCCTGGGCATTTTCCACTTTCAGCTGAGTGGCCGTGATTATGGTGCCATCCTCGTTGACGCCCAGCAGCGCGGAGGTCAGCTCGAAGCGGGCGCGCAGCGCGTTGATGTGTTTCTTGCGTTCGCCGAGATCGGCGCGAAGCGTGCTCAGCTCCTCGTTGAGATGCTTTCGTTTCAGCAGTAAGATATCCTGCTGACTGCGCAGCTCCACAAAGCGATCCTTGATGATGCGCTGGAAGGCCAGGCGATGCTGATTCAGACTGTAGGTGCCCTTCTCACAGTTATCGATCACGCTCTGAATGTCGCAGCAGCGCATCTTGAGCAGACTTAGCTCCACCACGAACTCAGAATTTTCGTAGCGATTCATGCGCAGACGTTTGATGGTGCCCTCGCAGTAGACCTGCGCCTCCTTGATCTTAAACTTGACCACCTCCAGATCCTTGGCATCACTGTCGTAGACCCCAACCAAAGCGTTCATGCTATAGTTGAGCTTTTTGTTCTGCGCCTCAGTGGAGGCCAGACGACGTTGCAGCTTGCTCAGATACTGCTCCAGATCAGTGAGAATCTGAGCATTGCGCGCTTCCGTCTCCGGATCCGCGTTTTTGCCTCGCAAATCGGCTAGCTTACGCTCGCACTGCAAGTACTTGAAGGACATGTCGTAGTGTATTTCCGTCTGGCGCTTTATCTCAATCTCCACCTGCCGCTGGCTGCGAGTGACGGCCAGCAGCGTGGACTGGAGTGATCCATTTTGCACTATGATGGTCTTCTCCTCATCCTTCAGCTCGGCAATCTGGCGCTGGGTGCGGAAGAGCAGATCATTGCAGCGTTGCTGCTCCTTGTTGAGCAATTTGAACGCCTCCTCCTCGCCCTCCATCATCTCGTCCAGTATTTGCAGTCGCTGATTGGCATCGGTGTGCTTGTTCTCGATCGCCTTCAGGCGATCCTCAATTTTCTTCAGCGTCGTGGCGAAGTTCTCAATCTCTGCCAGCTTGTCATCACGTTGCTTGAGCAGCTTGCGATTGTCCAGACGCTGGGCGTGCACCATGTTCGACAGATTCTCCAGTTCGTGGCGCAACGAAACGATCTCGCGCTCCTTCAGCAGCGCAGAGTCGATCAGGCGCTGAATTTCATTCTTGGCATCGGATGTCTCTGTGTTCAATATCTCGATGCTTCGCTCAACCAGCCGATTATTCTCCTGAACGTCGTTCAGTTGCTCGTTGGCAACGAAATAGGCTTTGGCCATCGCGTCCGCCTTCTCCATCAGCCTGACGCACTCCGTCTCACCGTTCTGTATTTCCATTTCGCGCTGTGTCATCTGATTGACCGCCTGCTTCCATGTGTCCACCATCTGGCGTCGCTCCTGATGCGCTTCCCTATACAAGCTGGACGTACGCTCCAGATTCTTTTCCAGCGTGTTCTGCTCATCGTAGAGCAGGACGATCGCATTGCGACGCTTCTCGATGTCCGCCTGTAGTAACTGGCGGCGCGTGTTCAGCTCCTTTGCCCTCTGCTGATCATCCTGGTAGTATTTATCGATCAGCTGGTAGCCTTTGTTGCCATCCTCCATGGCATCGGCCCACTCGACCAGGCTCGACTTTGCCTTCTTGATGCGCTTGGTCAGATCATCGATTTCGCGCTTGTTTTTCGTAATTTTACCTGCAAATCAAGTAACAATGTGATATCATCTGAACGCCTCGATTGCGTCACTTACGTAATGTGTGCTCCGCGTATTCCGTGTACTCCGACAGCTCTTTTTCGTTCTTGCGCAAGTCCTCCTTCAGCTTGTTGCGCTCCAATATCACCAGCTGCGTGCGATGCGCCTCCTTCAGCACATCGTTCTTCACCGAATTGAAAAATGTCTGGCAGGGGATTTAGCTGAGGATTAACCGATCCGTAATATAGCTCGCCTCATCACTTACGATGTTCTGCTGGAGCGTGGCCTCAATGTTTCGCTTGTGCCGCTCGATGGTCTTGTCGCGCTCATCCAGCTCGCCGATGCGCTGCTGCAGATTGAATTTCTCTGCCCGCATGCCAACCATCTCCTGCAGGATGGCCAGATTCTGGGCATTCGCCATGGGTATATCGGCCTCCACGGTCCAACCCATGGAACGCATGGCCTCCAGCTTGAACTCGTCAAGCGAGGTGCTCTTCATGTCATCCGTTTTGTTCGCGGTGTCGCCCATTTTGGTATATATGAGTATATAACGCCGGATGTGCTATATATAGTACTATATCCAGCTGAGAGTTGATTACTTTGAAATTAATATTCGAAAAGCAAAACAACCTGATTCACTATGCCAACCGGGTTGTTACGTTTCTCTCCGTTGTTCCGAGCAACGTCTGTCGTTGACCAGTGCAAAACGGAAAACGGAAAACGGAAAACGAAAAAGTTGCCTTGGGCAGGCAAACAAAAGGGCTATGGGGTAGCTACTAGTCAGGTACACATACCCTAAGGTCTTTCAATGCTTATAAGTGGGGGTAGTTTAGACTAGGCGGCACACTGATTGGAGCAGTTGCTACCCGAAATTAACGCATATTTAGGAGTCGGCTACGATCTGTCCTGCTATGGCAGGCTTTTAGGACGCTAAGATCCTTCGCTTTGGAATCACTGCAACTCTAACTGTCTTCCTGACTGTTTAAATGTTCAAATTTATTTATGAATGATATTTGTAATACTCAAATAGTTTTATATATTATAATTCTCGGTAATCTTGCAGAGGCCAGGATAGTTGATATTCATGCCCGTCTGGCAGTCAGCGCCCACTGGACCATTCACGTAGACCGGTTTGCCGACGACATTGTCGACGGCATAGTTGCACGTGACGAGGAAGTGCTTCAGATTATTCTTTACGAAGCGGGATGCGGCACAGCCGACGGCAATTTGCTGCTGCTGAGCCATCACGGCAAAGCGGTCAATCGAGCTGGCAGAAGGCAGGCAAAATGGAGTTTATCAATGGGTTTAGCTCGTTTGGTCAAGTGTTACGATGCACTCACCTCCCAGCCCAGTTTGTGGGATAGCTATTGATGACAGCCATATTGGCATTCTCGTACTCGATCCACCAATTAGAAACAGCCTGCCTCAGCAGATACTGATCCGTCCTGACACCCGTTTGGGCCTCATTGTAGGCAAAGTAGGCTATGTTCTGGCCACTGTTGCGGAATCGTGCCGTGTTGTGGCAGTTATCCCTCAGGCGCTGGCACTGTTTCACATTCAGCTCGGCGCGGCTGGCCAGATCAGCGTCCCAGCGCATGAAGGCCATGCGACGTGCCGGGCCATAACCAGGCAACTCTCCCAGTGCTAGACGATTGCGTCGGGCATTGTGGGCAGCCACCACGAAATTGCGAAGGCTCAGGTTCATATCGATCAGGTAGGGCTTAGGTAAAGCTGGGCAAGTGCTAGACCAGGCCTGGAATGAAAAAAGTTTTAAGTCTTGATCTGCAACACTTTGGCTGCTGCACTTACTCCACCGTTTTGGCAAGGCGATGTCACAGCTCCTACGGCTGCTAAATTATTAACCGCGTCTAAAGCTCCTCCTGCATCTACGGCTCCTACGTCTTGGATATTGACGAGGACCGAGGTCAGCGTTAGGCAAAGTATAACAAATCGCAACATTTCGTAAAGAACTAACTTATCCGAGCTCAAGACCTAGCGTTTATATAGCCCATGATTTCTTTGGCACCCATTTAGAACAATCAATTCCATCTTGTTTAAGGAGTGTTAACAGCTGTGTTTGTACTCCCGAAAATTTCAAGCATCTTTAATATATTTAATCTGCCTTTGTCATAGCTCAGATCTTACAAAGTGTATAAAGTGGGTAAACAGTAAGAAATGTCTGGCAATATATGCTGGATATTCCAAATTCTATAAAGGTATTTACATATATATATATATATATCAATAATATGCAAGTATAAAAAGGTTAAATAGTGTTGGGTTCGTTGGCTATTTTTCTACACAATTTGAAATCGGGTCGAATTTGTGTTCATAAAATTAATTTAACCAGTTTCTGTAACATGTATTTACATCGAATAAATTGGGCCATTTTTTTCAAAGTCGATAAATATCGATTTCAAAATTTACCATATTCCGAATACTGTGAATATTCCAAGTAGTAAAAACATTACAATCATATAGATCAGAAATATATATATAGGAATATATATATAACTGCACGCAGGGTATCTGTTAGTCGATCACAAGCGACTTCAGTCTATAGTGCACGTTTTACCAACTCAGTTTTTACATATTGGTGCGAGGAGCAAATTGTTGCTAACCCATCTTACAGTTGTTTAAACACTTTGGAAAAGTAATAAGACGAAACGAAGCCAAACACATTTTAATTGTCATTTATTTACTTTTTATTTTTGTTTTATTTGCTTGCTTTTGTTGATTTCAATTGTTGTTGTAACTATTATGTAATGTTTATGATAATTTTAACGCTAGCATTCATCTTTTTAACTTCATGTGGTAATATTTAATATTTGTATTCGTATTTATATATTATAATTGTAAATCATCATTATTAATATTATTTTCATTATGATCAGTACTGCCAAAGTTGATAAATCGCTTTAACTGCTCAATTATATATATAGATATATTTCGATTTAAATATATATATCGGTTTAGCAATTCGATTTATTTATTTTGTTTCAACAAACTCAAGAATCGTATAATGTATATGCAATTACAGTTATATATATATATATATTTATGTATGTTTGTATAGATAAGGTTTATGCAATATGAACTAAACGCTAGAGAATTCCAGTTCTTCTCCTACAGCTTGCCAAACGAAATGGTTGGGGTTGGTGGCGGGCTACTCGTGTTAGCCCTTTCCTTCACGTGGCCTTGTTGGCTATGCTGTGCAAGTGGACACAGTTTGCAGATTCTATGTTTGTTAGATACATAAATGTGTTTTTCATTTTAAATATATTTATGCACGTTTCCATATATATATATATATTTAATTTAAATTTCAAGGGTGGGCGTTCTTATTTATAAATTTATTTTGCTTTGAATTCATTTCATATATATATATGTATATTAAAGTTTTGGGGGATAGAACTAAATCGCCGCATTATCGGATTTCCCCAGTGATATATATTGCATATATATGTATACGTATAGCATAAATAAGCGTTACCATTCGAATACACGTCCGCAACATAACAAAAAACTTAATAACAAAATTTGGATTTAAATATTGAAATTTGCACTAACGCGAAGATCCAAACTTAAAACTAAACAATTCAATCTTTAGTGGGAAAATCAGGGAAACTGAAGTTCCCATTTTTTTTCTTTTTGTGGAAAACAATTAGTTTTGGTTTCTTGCAATTTATGCGGTTTACTAATTAATTTATTTAATAGCATTTTAATTGTTGGCCTTTGCAATGTGTGTAACTGTATGTATGAATGTGCGAATGTGTGTGTGTGTGTGTGTGTGTGTGTGGGTGTGGTATGCGTGTGTGCATGCATCCACTTCTGCAGAGAGGGGCACGTTTGTTAAGGTGTGAGTGTAGGGAGTGTAGTTCGAACAACAGGCTGCACTACACGCAAAAGTGAGCCAGTGTCTCATATTTATAAGCAAATTTGAGAATATTACAAAATATATATATATACATACATACATACATACATACATACATATATATATATATATATATATATATATATATTTATATATATAAGTATATATGTATATATACATAGCATATATCGAAATTTAGCCAATTATGGTGTATGTGGGTGAGTGTATGTATGTGAAACAAAAAGAGAAAGAGAGAAATCGCAAAATTACGCAAACGTTTGAATGTTTGTTGTTGTTGTTGCATGGGTTGCTGCTATCCGGTTGCTGCAGTGTTTTACAGTTACTACAATCAGCTAAAGATAAATAGAACTATATAGACTTTGCATATGTATGCATGTGTGGGTGTATGTGTATAACGCTTCTTGTTACGCCATTGGTTAATATTTGCTCTTCATGTTTCTATTTTGTTATTTTCTTTTTAAGACAGGTGGAAGGACATGCTGCCCTCGTTGGCAGCCACTTTCAGCTTCTGTCGCATCACATCACGACTGGAGTAGTCGGGCAACTTGAGATAGTTGACACAGGTCATCACAGATGGTAGATAATCATTGGGATTCTGGTTCCCATCCAGGGTCTTGCGCACAATGGTCAGCGGCGGAGTCAGCGCCTTAAAGCCGCCCGTTGGCAGACGTGGCGATCCGGTGACAAATTGTAGGAACGCACGCTGCTCATCACGATTGTAGGAGACGAGAATCTCGTACAGAAATTGTATGGCCTGAGATTCCTGATGGAAGCCATGATCAGTGCGGCAGCTGTCCTGCAGCATTTTGAGATCCCAGGTCTGATGCTGTTCGCTGCCAGACCCGCAAAACACGCACTCCAGCTCCTCAGGATAAAACATGCGCAATCGTTGTATGGGGAAAATGGAATCAAAGCCTGTAACGAAACCAATTGAAACGTAATCAATTGTCTAAGGGGATGGATAGAATGTGCTACTTACCCTCTCGCAGTGCCTCAAACTGTTTCTGCACGCCTTCGACGAGGAACCAGTAGGTAACCAGCGAGATATATTGATGCAAGTTGTGCACGGTTACGGGCGTATCACGTCCGCCACGGCACAGCTCAATGTTGGCATGTCCGGGCAGTACAAAGTCCAGTCCCAAATCCGCAATGGGACAGCCATCCAAATCAAGTTGCTCCATCTGTTCAAGATGATGAATTGGTTAATTGCTGTGCATTTTATTGAGTTTCATTCAAGCTCACCTTCTCCTTCTTTTCCATGGCATCTAGATTGGCATCCAATTGGATATCCTCGCGCTGTCGCACCACATCCTGCAGACGCACCAACGTACTTTGCACCTCGGGCGCAACCCGCATCAAATCGGCCAGGCCAATCGATAACTCCTCGTTGATCAGCCAGCGATAGAAGGGCAGTGAGAATGGCAAATCGAGCTAAAAGAGGCGAGAGGCAAATAGTGTGATATTATATATAAACATAAAATAATGTAGTTCGATGCTACACTTACCATGCGACTATCCATTACTGCCTTGGCCATAAACTTGCCTAGGAATTTAAACTTCGACTTGGCCTTGGTCATCTGTGGCAGCTTGGAGGATTTGCCCAAAGGCAAAGGAAACAGGCCATGTGCGGCGTGGACGTAGCTAACAGTGGATGCCGTTTGAATAGTTGTTGTTGTTGCAGTGACTGTTCCGGTTGCTGTGGTTGTTGTTATCGTCTGTTCTTCCAGCACTTGGGGGGAGTTGTTGGCGCCACCTTCAGTGGTTGCCATATCACTAAACTGCTGTGCAATGATCATATTTAAAGCGTTGTCATTGGAGCTGGAAGAGCTGTGCTCCGCCAGCAACTGTTGCTGCTGATTGCGCAGCGCGTTGCTGCGACTGTTGCTGCGGGTCAGATGTACGTTCGTTGTTTGAGTGTTGGCGGCAGTCGCCACAACTGTGGACATCACTACCGTCTCGCCGTTGGACTCGACTGTATCTTCGATGTGCACCACGGGATTGCTGGACTTGACCACGTCGGCAATATTGGATGAGTTATGGCGATAGCTGTCGCTGCCATTCCACAGACCAAGATCCGTGCGCTGCAGCTCGGCAGATACCAGAGCATAAAATTCCAGCGTGGGTCCCAATCCGGTGCCCACCTAAAAAGCAGATAATACGAGGATTAGACAAGTCAGTTCTAATTGATGCTTGGTCGCACAACCAACCTCATTCTCGTATTGAATCTCCAGCAGGGCCTTGGAATTGCCAAAGTCCTGGAGTATGTGCTCGGCCTGTTTCAGTAGCTCGGCACGTGAGATGGCTCGTTTACGTCTGTCTAGACGTGGCGCTACACGTTCAGATGACTCCGCCGAGTTCAGATCCGGTGTGGTGTCTAACAGACGCTGCAGCGCCCGATCCCGATCAAAGCTTGTGGCATAGAAAAGCAAGTGACGCGTCTCGAAGGGGAAGAGGAAGGGACAGGCCATGCCTATCTGAGGTAACCATTGGGGCAGATTGCCAGTCATGATGACCAACGGATCCTGCAGCTGGCGATTCGCCTTGGCCGTAATCTTTGGATGCACAAACTCAGTATTGGCAATAATATTCTGGCGCACCACGCAGCCATACAGATGCTCCCAGTGTCGATTCAGGGCATAAATTACACGCAGCATGCATAACGCATCTAGCGAAGCATCTTGCACGGTCACCACATCGCTGGGCAGGCAGCTGCTCAGGAATGGCTTCAACGGTGACAGCACTGTCGGAGCAATCCCCTCGTGCCACAGTTCGGTCTTTTTGCGCATAAATTTGCTGCTAGATTTATGGGACTTCTTGCCGCCAGCACTCGAACTGGCTGCCGAATTAGATGAACTTGAGGTGGAGCATGAGGTACCAAGCACATGTGTACCACTGGATGTGGCATGGCTATTGCTGCTGCCGCTGCTGCTGCTGTGTGCCAGATTTTGCTTGTGGGCTTGACTGCTGCTACTACTACTGCAGGAGCTGTTTGCCCCAGAGCCGCCAGGGAGTTCCTCCTCGACTCGGAGGCGGAGGAGCGTGCGCTGTAACCTGTTGAGAGAGGACAGTACAGTCAGTCGCTTCATAGTGACAACTGGCCACATACCTTTGACTGAGTAGCAGTCCAGCGAGGAGTACGACGTGGTCCTGGAGGACACGCGACTGCGCGCGGGCTTCAAGTGCTGCGGCAGCTTAATGCCCTTGTCCAGCATATAGGCTATTATTTCGGCACCATCCTGATCGCTATTGGTCATGTCGCACAGCAGATTTAGCACCTTTCTGTTCCGGTTCTCCAACTCCTGCAGATTGAGATCGCGTTCGAATAGCGACAGAAAGTCCGCACTTATGGCCTTCTGTTTGATTTCCTTGAGCAGAAATTGTATCTCGCGATTGGCTCGGTCAATTTTGGAGTTCTGCTCCTGCAGTTCCTTCTTTAGTTTTTGCAACGTTTCCGTATCGTCCAAGCACTTCTGCTTTTCGGCTTCGATATCCAGCATTAGGCGCTCCAGCTCCTGGTTTTGCTGCTCGATTTCATTTTCGTAAGCCTCCGCCTTGCAGCGCAACATCTTCAGCTTCTTGAGCTCCATGCAGTAGCTCTCCTGCACTTTCTGTAGCTCCTCCTCGGCGCGCTGTTCATCTGTGAAGAAGAGCAAACTATTATTTACTGTTGTATTTAAATGCTGGGAAATTCACTCTCAAGATAAAATAGCAATAGGAAGATCTAAGATCTACGATCTCCTTTCCATTCACATTTAAATTGCAAATTATTTACACTATTAAAGCCTCGGGTATTGGAATCTAAATACGAACCCTTTGAATTATCTTCGTAGGTTCTTAGATTCTTGCGGTAGTTGTCATTGGACTTATCAAATTGGCGCAGCGTATTCTCCAGACCGATCACCTCCTTCTCGGCCTTGAGCACCTTTTTATTAAGAGCATCGCCCTCGTCGGCGAGCAGCTGACGCTCCTGGGCATTTTCCACTTTCAGCTGAGTGGCCGTGATTATGGTGCCATCCTCGTTGACGCCCAGCAGCGCGGAGGTCAGCTCGAAGCGGGCGCGCAGCGCGTTGATGTGTTTCTTGCGTTCGCCGAGATCGGCGCGAAGCGTGCTCAGCTCCTCGTTGAGATGCTTTCGTTTCAGCAGTAAGATATCCTGCTGACTGCGCAGCTCCACAAAGCGATCCTTGATGATGCGCTGGAAGGCCAGGCGATGCTGATTCAGACTGTAGGTGCCCTTCTCACAGTTATCGATCACGCTCTGAATGTCGCAGCAGCGCATCTTGAGCAGACTTAGCTCCACCACGAACTCAGAATTTTCGTAGCGATTCATGCGCAGACGTTTGATGGTGCCCTCGCAGTAGACCTGCGCCTCCTTGATCTTAAACTTGACCACCTCCAGATCCTTGGCATCACTGTCGTAGACCCCAACCAAAGCGTTCATGCTATAGTTGAGCTTTTTGTTCTGCGCCTCAGTGGAGGCCAGACGACGTTGCAGCTTGCTCAGATACTGCTCCAGATCAGTGAGAATCTGAGCATTGCGCGCTTCCGTCTCCGGATCCGCGTTTTTGCCTCGCAAATCGGCTAGCTTACGCTCGCACTGCAAGTACTTGAAGGACATGTCGTAGTGTATTTCCGTCTGGCGCTTTATCTCAATCTCCACCTGCCGCTGGCTGCGAGTGACGGCCAGCAGCGTGGACTGGAGTGATCCATTTTGCACTATGATGGTCTTCTCCTCATCCTTCAGCTCGGCAATCTGGCGCTGGGTGCGGAAGAGCAGATCATTGCAGCGTTGCTGCTCCTTGTTGAGCAATTTGAACGCCTCCTCCTCGCCCTCCATCATCTCGTCCAGTATTTGCAGTCGCTGATTGGCATCGGTGTGCTTGTTCTCGATCGCCTTCAGGCGATCCTCAATTTTCTTCAGCGTCGTGGCGAAGTTCTCAATCTCTGCCAGCTTGTCATCACGTTGCTTGAGCAGCTTGCGATTGTCCAGACGCTGGGCGTGCACCATGTTCGACAGATTCTCCAGTTCGTGGCGCAACGAAACGATCTCGCGCTCCTTCAGCAGCGCAGAGTCGATCAGGCGCTGAATTTCATTCTTGGCATCGGATGTCTCTGTGTTCAATATCTCGATGCTTCGCTCAACCAGCCGATTATTCTCCTGAACGTCGTTCAGTTGCTCGTTGGCAACGAAATAGGCTTTGGCCATCGCGTCCGCCTTCTCCATCAGCCTGACGCACTCCGTCTCACCGTTCTGTATTTCCATTTCGCGCTGTGTCATCTGATTGACCGCCTGCTTCCATGTGTCCACCATCTGGCGTCGCTCCTGATGCGCTTCCCTATACAAGCTGGACGTACGCTCCAGATTCTTTTCCAGCGTGTTCTGCTCATCGTAGAGCAGGACGATCGCATTGCGACGCTTCTCGATGTCCGCCTGTAGTAACTGGCGGCGCGTGTTCAGCTCCTTTGCCCTCTGCTGATCATCCTGGTAGTATTTATCGATCAGCTGGTAGCCTTTGTTGCCATCCTCCATGGCATCGGCCCACTCGACCAGGCTCGACTTTGCCTTCTTGATGCGCTTGGTCAGATCATCGATTTCGCGCTTGTTTTTCGTAATTTTACCTGCAAATCAAGTAACAATGTGATATCATCTGAACGCCTCGATTGCGTCACTTACGTAATGTGTGCTCCGCGTATTCCGTGTACTCCGACAGCTCTTTTTCTTTCTTGCGCAAGTCCTCCTTCAGCTTGTTGCGCTCCAATATCACCAGCTGCGTGCGATGCGCCTCCTTCAGCACATCGTTCTTCACCGAATTGAAAAATGTCTGGCAGGGGATTTAGCTGAGGATTAACCGATCCGTAATATAGCTCGCCTCATCACTTACGATGTTCTGCTGGAGCGTGGCCTCAATGTTTCGCTTGTGCCGCTCGATGGTCTTGTCGCGCTCATCCAGCTCGCCGATGCGCTGCTGCAGATTGAATTTCTCTGCCCGCATGCCAACCATCTCCTGCAGGATGGCCAGATTCTGGGCATTCGCCATGGGTATATCGGCCTCCACGGTCCAACCCATGGAACGCATGGCCTCCAGCTTGAACTCGTCAAGCGAGGTGCTCTTCATGTCATCCGTTTTGTTCGCGGTGTCGCCCATTTTGGTATATATGAGTATATAACGCCGGATGTGCTATATATAGTACTATATCCAGCTGAGAGTTGATTACTTTGAAATTAATATTCGAAAAGCAAAACAACCTGATTCACTATGCCAACCGGGTTGTTACGTTTCTCTCCGTTGTTCCGAGCAACGTCTGTCGTTGACCAGTGCAAAACGGAAAACGGAAAACGGAAAACGAAAAAGTTGCCTTGGGCAGGCAAACAAAAGGGCTATGGGGTAGCTACTAGTCAGGTACACATACCCTAAGGTCTTTCAATGCTTATAAGTGGGGGTAGTTTAGACTAGGCGGCACACTGATTGGAGCAGTTGCTACCCGAAATTAACGCATATTTAGGAGTCGGCTACGATCTGTCCTGCTATGGCAGGCTTTTAGGACGCTAAGATCCTTCGCTTTGGAATCACTGCAACTCTAACTGTCTTCCTGACTGTTTAAATGTTCAAATTTATTTATGAATGATATTTGTAATACTCAAATAGTTTTATATATTATAATTCTCGGTAATCTTGCAGAGGCCAGGATAGTTGATATTCATGCCCGTCTGGCAGTCAGCGCCCACTGGACCATTCACGTAGACCGGTTTGCCGACGACATTGTCGACGGCATAGTTGCACGTGACGAGGAAGTGCTTCAGATTATTCTTTACGAAGCGGGATGCGGCACAGCCGACGGCAATTTGCTGCTGCTGAGCCATCACGGCAAAGCGGTCAATCGAGCTGGCAGAAGGCAGGCAAAATGGAGTTTATCAATGGGTTTAGCTCGTTTGGTCAAGTGTTACGATGCACTCACCTCCCAGCCCAGTTTGTGGGATAGCTATTGATGACAGCCATATTGGCATTCTCGTACTCGATCCACCAATTAGAAACAGCCTGCCTCAGCAGATACTGATCCGTCCTGACACCCGTTTGGGCCTCATTGTAGGCAAAGTAGGCTATGTTCTGGCCACTGTTGCGGAATCGTGCCGTGTTGTGGCAGTTATCCCTCAGGCGCTGGCACTGTTTCACATTCAGCTCGGCGCGGCTGGCCAGATCAGCGTCCCAGCGCATGAAGGCCATGCGACGTGCCGGGCCATAACCAGGCAACTCTCCCAGTGCTAGACGATTGCGTCGGGCATTGTGGGCAGCCACCACGAAATTGCGAAGGCTCAGGTTCATATCGATCAGGTAGGGCTTAGGTAAAGCTGGGCAAGTGCTAGACCAGGCCTGGAATGAAAAAAGTTTTAAGTCTTGATCTGCAACACTTTGGCTGCTGCACTTACTCCACCGTTTTGGCAAGGCGATGTCACAGCTCCTACGGCTGCTAAATTATTAACCGCGTCTAAAGCTCCTCCTGCATCTACGGCTCCTACGTCTTGGATATTGACGAGGACCGAGGTCAGCGTTAGGCAAAGTATAACAAATCGCAACATTTCGTAAAGAACTAACTTATCCGAGCTCAAGACCTAGCGTTTATATAGCCCATGATTTCTTTGGCACCCATTTAGAACAATCAATTCCATCTTGTTTAAGGAGTGTTAACAGCTGTGTTTGTACTCCCGAAAATTTCAAGCATCTTTAATATATTTAATCTGCCTTTGTCATAGCTCAGATCTTACAAAGTGTATAAAGTGGGTAAACAGTAAGAAATGTCTGGCAATATATGCTGGATATTCCAAATTCTATAAAGGTATTTACATATATATATATATATATCAATAATATGCAAGTATAAAAAGGTTAAATAGTGTTGGGTTCGTTGGCTATTTTTCTACACAATTTGAAATCGGGTCGAATTTGTGTTCATAAAATTAATTTAACCAGTTTCTGTAACATGTATTTACATCGAATAAATTGGGCCATTTTTTTCAAAGTCGATAAATATCGATTTCAAAATTTACCATATTCCGAATACTGTGAATATTCCAAGTAGTAAAAACATTACAATCATATAGATCAGAAATATATATATAGGAATATATATATAACTGCACGCAGGGTATCTGTTAGTCGATCACAAGCGACTTCAGTCTATAGTGCACGTTTTACCAACTCAGTTTTTACATATTGGTGCGAGGAGCAAATTGTTGCTAACCCATCTTACAGTTGTTTAAACACTTTGGAAAAGTAATAAGACGAAACGAAGCCAAACACATTTTAATTGTCATTTATTTACTTTTTATTTTTGTTTTATTTGCTTGCTTTTGTTGATTTCAATTGTTGTTGTAACTATTATGTAATGTTTATGATAATTTTAACGCTAGCATTCATCTTTTTAACTTCATGTGGTAATATTTAATATTTGTATTCGTATTTATATATTATAATTGTAAATCATCATTATTAATATTATTTTCATTATGATCAGTACTGCCAAAGTTGATAAATCGCTTTAACTGCTCAATTATATATATAGATATATTTCGATTTAAATATATATATCGGTTTAGCAATTCGATTTATTTATTTTGTTTCAACAAACTCAAGAATCGTATAATGTATATGCAATTACAGTTATATATATATATATTTATGTATGTTTGTATAGATAAGGTTTATGCAATATGAACTAAACGCTAGAGAATTCCAGTTCTTCTCCTACAGCTTGCCAAACGAAATGGTTGGGGTTGGTGGCGGGCTACTCGTGTTAGCCCTTTCCTTCACGTGGCCTTGTTGGCTATGCTGTGCAAGTGGACACAGTTTGCAGATTCTATGTTTGTTAGATACATAAATGTGTTTTTCATTTTAAATATATTTATGCACGTTTCCATATATATATATATATTTAATTTAAATTTCAAGGGTGGGCGTTCTTATTTATAAATTTATTTTGCTTTGAATTCATTTCATATATATATATGTATATTAAAGTTTTGGGGGATAGAACTAAATCGCCGCATTATCGGATTTCCCCAGTGATATATATTGCATATATATGTATACGTATAGCATAAATAAGCGTTACCATTCGAATACACGTCCGCAACATAACAAAAAACTTAATAACAAAATTTGGATTTAAATATTGAAATTTGCACTAACGCGAAGATCCAAACTTAAAACTAAACAATTCAATCTTTAGTGGGAAAATCAGGGAAACTGAAGTTCCCATTTTTTTTCTTTTTGTGGAAAACAATTAGTTTTGGTTTCTTGCAATTTATGCGGTTTACTAATTAATTTATTTAATAGCATTTTAATTGTTGGCCTTTGCAATGTGTGTAACTGTATGTATGAATGTGCGAATGTGTGTGTGTGTGTGTGTGTGTGTGGGTGTGGTATGCGTGTGTGCATGCATCCACTTCTGCAGAGAGGGGCACGTTTGTTAAGGTGTGAGTGTAGGGAGTGTAGTTCGAACAACAGGCTGCACTACACGCAAAAGTGAGCCAGTGTCTCATATTTATAAGCAAATTTGAGAATATTACAAAATATATATATATACATACATACATACATACATACATACATATATATATATATATATATATATATATATATTTATATATATAAGTATATATGTATATATACATAGCATATATCGAAATTTAGCCAATTATGGTGTATGTGGGTGAGTGTATGTATGTGAAACAAAAAGAGAAAGAGAGAAATCGCAAAATTACGCAAACGTTTGAATGTTTGTTGTTGTTGTTGCATGGGTTGCTGCTATCCGGTTGCTGCAGTGTTTTACAGTTACTACAATCAGCTAAAGATAAATAGAACTATATAGACTTTGCATATGTATGCATGTGTGGGTGTATGTGTATAACGCTTCTTGTTACGCCATTGGTTAATATTTGCTCTTCATGTTTCTATTTTGTTATTTTCTTTTTAAGACAGGTGGAAGGACATGCTGCCCTCGTTGGCAGCCACTTTCAGCTTCTGTCGCATCACATCACGACTGGAGTAGTCGGGCAACTTGAGATAGTTGACACAGGTCATCACAGATGGTAGATAATCATTGGGATTCTGGTTCCCATCCAGGGTCTTGCGCACAATGGTCAGCGGCGGAGTCAGCGCCTTAAAGCCGCCCGTTGGCAGACGTGGCGATCCGGTGACAAATTGTAGGAACGCACGCTGCTCATCACGATTGTAGGAGACGAGAATCTCGTACAGAAATTGTATGGCCTGAGATTCCTGATGGAAGCCATGATCAGTGCGGCAGCTGTCCTGCAGCATTTTGAGATCCCAGGTCTGATGCTGTTCGCTGCCAGACCCGCAAAACACGCACTCCAGCTCCTCAGGATAAAACATGCGCAATCGTTGTATGGGGAAAATGGAATCAAAGCCTGTAACGAAACCAATTGAAACGTAATCAATTGTCTAAGGGGATGGATAGAATGTGCTACTTACCCTCTCGCAGTGCCTCAAACTGTTTCTGCACGCCTTCGACGAGGAACCAGTAGGTAACCAGCGAGATATATTGATGCAAGTTGTGCACGGTTACGGGCGTATCACGTCCGCCACGGCACAGCTCAATGTTGGCATGTCCGGGCAGTACAAAGTCCAGTCCCAAATCCGCAATGGGACAGCCATCCAAATCAAGTTGCTCCATCTGTTCAAGATGATGAATTGGTTAATTGCTGTGCATTTTATTGAGTTTCATTCAAGCTCACCTTCTCCTTCTTTTCCATGGCATCTAGATTGGCATCCAATTGGATATCCTCGCGCTGTCGCACCACATCCTGCAGACGCACCAACGTACTTTGCACCTCGGGCGCAACCCGCATCAAATCGGCCAGGCCAATCGATAACTCCTCGTTGATCAGCCAGCGATAGAAGGGCAGTGAGAATGGCAAATCGAGCTAAAAGAGGCGAGAGGCAAATAGTGTGATATTATATATAAACATAAAATAATGTAGTTCGATGCTACACTTACCATGCGACTATCCATTACTGCCTTGGCCATAAACTTGCCTAGGAATTTAAACTTCGACTTGGCCTTGGTCATCTGTGGCAGCTTGGAGGATTTGCCCAAAGGCAAAGGAAACAGGCCATGTGCGGCGTGGACGTAGCTAACAGTGGATGCCGTTTGAATAGTTGTTGTTGTTGCAGTGACTGTTCCGGTTGCTGTGGTTGTTGTTATCGTCTGTTCTTCCAGCACTTGGGGGGAGTTGTTGGCGCCACCTTCAGTGGTTGCCATATCACTAAACTGCTGTGCAATGATCATATTTAAAGCGTTGTCATTGGAGCTGGAAGAGCTGTGCTCCGCCAGCAACTGTTGCTGCTGATTGCGCAGCGCGTTGCTGCGACTGTTGCTGCGGGTCAGATGTACGTTCGTTGTTTGAGTGTTGGCGGCAGTCGCCACAACTGTGGACATCACTACCGTCTCGCCGTTGGACTCGACTGTATCTTCGATGTGCACCACGGGATTGCTGGACTTGACCACGTCGGCAATATTGGATGAGTTATGGCGATAGCTGTCGCTGCCATTCCACAGACCAAGATCCGTGCGCTGCAGCTCGGCAGATACCAGAGCATAAAATTCCAGCGTGGGTCCCAATCCGGTGCCCACCTAAAAAGCAGATAATACGAGGATTAGACAAGTCAGTTCTAATTGATGCTTGGTCGCACAACCAACCTCATTCTCGTATTGAATCTCCAGCAGGGCCTTGGAATTGCCAAAGTCCTGGAGTATGTGCTCGGCCTGTTTCAGTAGCTCGGCACGTGAGATGGCTCGTTTACGTCTGTCTAGACGTGGCGCTACACGTTCAGATGACTCCGCCGAGTTCAGATCCGGTGTGGTGTCTAACAGACGCTGCAGCGCCCGATCCCGATCAAAGCTTGTGGCATAGAAAAGCAAGTGACGCGTCTCGAAGGGGAAGAGGAAGGGACAGGCCATGCCTATCTGAGGTAACCATTGGGGCAGATTGCCAGTCATGATGACCAACGGATCCTGCAGCTGGCGATTCGCCTTGGCCGTAATCTTTGGATGCACAAACTCAGTATTGGCAATAATATTCTGGCGCACCACGCAGCCATACAGATGCTCCCAGTGTCGATTCAGGGCATAAATTACACGCAGCATGCATAACGCATCTAGCGAAGCATCTTGCACGGTCACCACATCGCTGGGCAGGCAGCTGCTCAGGAATGGCTTCAACGGTGACAGCACTGTCGGAGCAATCCCCTCGTGCCACAGTTCGGTCTTTTTGCGCATAAATTTGCTGCTAGATTTATGGGACTTCTTGCCGCCAGCACTCGAACTGGCTGCCGAATTAGATGAACTTGAGGTGGAGCATGAGGTACCAAGCACATGTGTACCACTGGATGTGGCATGGCTATTGCTGCTGCCGCTGCTGCTGCTGTGTGCCAGATTTTGCTTGTGGGCTTGACTGCTGCTACTACTACTGCAGGAGCTGTTTGCCCCAGAGCCGCCAGGGAGTTCCTCCTCGACGGGGCGATAGTAGATGGTGTGCTGCTGCACCCAAATGCTGCTATTGCCTATGGATTGAAAAGGAGCAAAGGATGGATTAGAATTACATAGATTTAGTTGCTTGACGGATTCTTTCTAGTCACTTACCCAACAGCATCTCGGACTCGTTGTCTGTCTCGTGCTGCTCGTTGACTAGCGGAGAGAACTGTTTTACCGCCTGGTAAACGGTCATATTGTAGGGCAACACGTGCTCCCCGATGAGGAATTGTAGCTTGTGCTTGAAGCCTGACTGGGTCATCACTACAGCAGCCACATTATCATCCATATCCTCTTCGCTGTCATCATCCGAATCGGCGCGTATTCCACCATAGCCGCGCACTACCAAATACCGTTCGATGGCCTGCACCATGGCTAAAGGATCGATCTTTACGGTGCCGCCCTTCCACTGGCGCAGATTGCTGCACTGCGGATGACGCTGCAGATTGCACTGGAGATGGCAAAAGCAGAGACATTCATTAGTAAGCTGGCGAGGATGATCTTTAGAGATTATGCTCAACTTACCTTTAATTGATGCGTATTAAAGAAACGTAGCGCGCTCTGATTGGTGCGTCCGCCGGGTCCGGCTTGGAAATCGTGCACTTTGACGGGGAACTGTTCAAGCTGTGTAACGCAGCCATTTAGCTTGGCCACAAAGGCGCCAAAAGCGAGTGGCTCTATCACCGGCAGCTGGCCCACATTCTGTAGAAGTGGTTCCAGCGGCAGACCAGCAAAGACGTGCATAAAGCTGCGCAGGCGAGCATCGCGCTCCACCAGACCTGATTCGCTGGTCATGTAGTTGAGCATGGCTTTGATCAAACCAGAATGATTCACTTCAAATGGCGAGATATCGCTCTCCAGCAATATGGTCTTCAGCTCGAGGAGCGCATCCAGACAGACGTGATAGCTGCCGTTCAACTTTAGCAGAATACTCGACAAACGTTCCAGGACACTGGTGCTGGCCAGTGATGTGCTTGATGTGGCAGCTGCTGTGCTACTGCAGCCGGCACCTGCTGCTCCCACTCCACCGTGGCCGCCCTCACTTTCGCGTGCTTTGCTACGCCTCGCCTCCTGTTCCGTGTAACGTTTGACGAAGTCGATGGCCTGCTCTCGCACCCATTGGCGTGCGCGTTCCCGATTGGCGGCCGCCATCAGATTGGCATGAGAGATGCTCTTGCTAATGCTGGCAGCAACGGCGGCGGCGTTCATACTGCCACCAGCCGAGCTGCCCGAATAGGACAGCCCAGAAGCCGAGCCGCAGGCACCTCCTGCCGAAGAGCTGCTGCTGTTGTTGGTGTTGCTGCCATCTTTAGACAGTCCGTGGTGCGCTGCGGAGGATTGCTGTTGCTGCTGCTGATGGTGCGCCGCCTGGCGTCCCCAGCGCGCCGGATTGAGCGAGGACAGAAACGATGACTTCGTAGAGGAGTTGCCCCCATTATTGGTGTTGCCCGCGCTAAAGCGAGACTTCGAATTGCCAGAGCCGGTATTAGAGCCGGAGCCAGTGCTGGGCGTATTGCGACCACCTGTGTTACTGCCCAGACCTAGCAGAAGTGAAGAGACCAAGATTAGCAATGGGAGTAGGGAAGGATTTCATTTGAACACTTACTCGTTGCCCGGCTGAGCAGCTCGTGCATTGCCGAACTGGCCGAATTGGCGGCGACAGCTGCTGCTGCGGCATCTTCTTGCCTGGACTTAGCCCGTCCGCTGCTTTGTGATTTGCGTTTAGGCGGAGCCTTGCGCTTCAGCATGTCCGTCATCTTATGCTGCAGCGCCGACGAGGAGCAGTTACTGCTACTGTTACTGTTGTTGTTGTTGGCGCTGTTGCTGTTGGCAGCTGCCGCGCTAGTGGAGGCAACTGCCACACCCCCATGCTGAGACTGCTGCTGTGGTGGCTGCAACTGTTGCTGCTGCTGCTGCTGGTAGCTGCTGGCGCCTCCCGCATTGCTATAGATGATCTGTGTGGGCGGCAATTGTTGCTGTTGTTGGTGCTGAGCATTGAGCTCGAGCGGAGCAGCCGGCTGCTGGAAATTCAGATACTGTCGTGGATCGGCGTTTGCTGTGGCAGCCACAAAGTAAGCAGCTGGTGCTGGCGCTGCTGCGGCTGAAACGGATGCAACGCCAGTGGACGAGCATGGCGCAGAACTGCTGTAGTTGTAGCTGGCTCCGGTGCCATCCAGTGCAGCAGTTGATGTTTGCTGATGCTGCTGTTGCTGCTGCTTGGACACTGTATTGGCGCTGGCGGTGAGCGCGTTCATGGCATGCGAGAAACTCTTCACGCTGTACGATTGATGCTTGGAGCTGCTGGGTGTGGCATTGGCGCTGCTAGACCCGCCGCTTCCAGTTGAGGCAGATCCTGTTCCTATGCTCACGTTGTCCATGAAGAAGGGATTCACCTGCAGGCTGTTCGCCGAGGCGGGAGCACTCTGGGATCCGCCCGCATTGCCCGTGGGCGTGGCCGTGGTGCTCAACGGCTTGGGCGAAGGGTTGGCGCATATGGGGTTGCTGGGATCGGTCAACTGGGTGAACTGATAGATGACGCCCTCGCGCCGAAAATGCGTGCCGAAGATATCCGGCAGCTGTCGCATCAGAATCTCGGCCATCTGCAGAGCGCCGACCACAATGCGCAGATCATTGCTGCCCAGCATGCCGGCAATGTGGCTGGAGACCAGCTGATACTTGAGCACCTGCCTCAGCAGTTCCGGCGTGGCATAGTAGACCATGCGAAGCAAAGCGCGCAGGCATTTGTAGCGCACATTGGGTCCGGCCGAGGAGCTGTACACCTCGTACAGCACATTGAAGATGTGCTTGATGAAATCGGCGGCCAGGCCACGCTCCTCTTTCAGACAGGCGATGCGTGCGTCCAGCGAGGGGCGACGCTTCACCAAGTGCGACGATGAGCTGTTGCTACTACTGCTCGTGTTGTTGTTGTTGTTGTTGTTGTTGGCAGCCGCTGCTGCTGCTGCTGCCGTGGATGTGGTGGCCGCACCAGTTGTGCTCAGGTCTTGTCCAGCTGCAACAGCTGCGGCGGCTGCTGCTGCACCCGGAGCCACATAATTGGGGTTCAGTTTGCGTTGAACGGGCCTTGTGGTGCCCGTATCCTCGTTGATTTGTTGCATGGCATGGAAGTCTACCGTATAGGTACGTCCCAGAGTACTCAAACTGATCTCGTCCTCGCTGCTTTGATGAGCCGCCTCTATCAGGCGGGAGTCAATCGTGGAATAGTTGTGCCAGGCGCCTCGATCGTCGCGCCATTGCCACTGCACCTGATCCTGGGTATTGAGCGTAGGTCGATCCAAGAGCGCATCTACGGCGAAGATGCCATCCAGCGGCAGGCGCGGCATCAGCTCACCAATCAAACAGGTCAACTCGAGCAGCTCGAGAGGCGGACGTGTCACTAGCTCCACATGGTTGGCACTGGCTGCCGCCGGCTCTGCATTGCCGGTAAGCAGATAGAGCAAGGTGGCGGCTATATCATTGCGCAGCAGCGATATGGCCAGATCCGGGCATGCGGCGCACATCAGGCTGAGCATGCGCACCACATTGGTGAAGGTGCCCGTGTTGAGTATGGGCGGCGTCACCACCAGCAGCTGCTGGCAATTCTTGAGGAGATCGGGGCTGGCAATCTGTTGCAATCGTTTCCCATCGTGCGGGAAGCTCTCAACCAGACGCCAGAAAGCCGTGCACACGCTGTCCACACACTTCTTGTCCTGCTGCGACAGCAGACGGGCCAGCTGAGGTAAGCTGTCGGAGACGAAGTGGAATTCCTCGGCATGCATGTTCTGGCAGCAGTTGGCGGTGATGGAAAGGGCAGCACGTTGAGCCACAATAGAGAAAAAGTCCAGGTAGGTGAGGCAGGCGCTAATGCCATTCGCCTGTAGAATGGCCTTGTTGTGGCGACGCGACAGTATCTCCAGTGCGGTCAGACTCTGTTCGGCCACATCCATGCACTGGATGACCTGCAGCTTCTCGAGAAACACAGGCACTGCCTCCACTACAGTTCCGGCGGATCGAGGCAGTGCCTCCAGCATATAGGCCAAGGCCCGGCAGGCATTGTTCATGATATCGAAATTGTGCTCCATGCGCAGCAGCTGGATGAGAGCCGGCACCACTTGCTTAACGGGGAAGCCGGCTAGCGTATCCTCGTTGCCCATGACCAACATTTGACACATCTCGATGGCCGCCTGCAGCTGTTGGGATTCATCATGCGACTGCAGACCCTGCAGCAGTTGATTCGCCTTCGAGGTGCTGCTGTTGCCAATAGTCCGGTGCAGGATGTGTGTCATCCGGGGTCCCAATGCACCAAACAGATGTGGCGGCAGGCCTCGTGCCTCGAGCAAGGCTTGGAGACGTCCCACTTCGCTGTCATCGCTTTCCGAGTCTGCGGCAGCTGCTGCGGCAGCAGCGGCCGCGGCAGCAGCAGCAGCATTTACAGCAGCAGCAGCGCCTGTTGTGGCTGATGATCCAGTTCCTGTTGCCGCTGTTGCTGTTGATTGTGCAGCACTGGCAGCAGCAGCACCTGTTGCTGCTGCTGCTGTGGCTGTTGTTGTTGTGGCTACATTGTTGCTGCTGCCGCTGGCCGAGGCACCGTTGCCGCTGCCGCCGCTAGCACTACTGCTGTTGGCGCCCACTGCGCTGCTAACGTTAACGTTAACGTTGACTGCAGAGTCGCCTCCTCGTGCGGCGCTCAAAGCGGCTGCTACAATGCTGAGATTGGCCGAGTTCGATCCTGCTTAGGAAACAGAAGCAAAGAGAGAGAAAAGAGATTAACACAAAGTTCGGCTGTTGCAGTTGCTGCTTCTGTTAAGGATAGCTACTACATTTAAATACAGTTAGAGAGTGACAGATATTTTACAGACAAACGAAAATGTTAGCATTAACAGTGCTGTTCAGCTTTGGATTAACAGTGTTGGCAAATAATAAGTCAAATGTTAACAGCGGCTGCGCGCCAACTGCTAAACGAGTCACCCTGTGTGCTGTGTGTGTGAATTGTAAAACGGAAATAAAAAACTTAAGGATGAATGTATTTTGACATGTATGCATGTATGCATGTATGTGTGTGTGTGTGTGTTGTATGTGGGTTAAATGCGTGTGCGTGTGCTAGTTTTGTTATATTGCTGAGTTTTTACCTGACGTCAGTTGCTGTCCACCTGCATGCGGCGGTCCATTTGGCGCTTGCTGTTGTTGCTGTTGTGCCATCAAACTATATGTTAAAGCATCCGAAGCTGCTAAATTGAATATTGTTTGTTTTTGTTGTTGTTGTTTTTTTTTACAGAGCGCGCGAGCGAGAGAAAGAGAGAGAAATGCAAAGAGTAATTAGAACTGCTTTCTTTGATTTAAGTTTTTTGTGGATTTTGGGCGGGTGAGGGGCAGCGGCAGACACCGCGAGCAAAGCGACGCGCACGACGGCAGCAGAGTAGTCAAGAAGGGATGTTCGGGGGCGTGAGATGTGAGCGATCAAATATGTATGAGAGATATGTAAAAATAAAATCGATGATTAATCGCAAACAAAAACTTTCGATATATGAACAGCACAGTTATCGACGCCTAAACATAGTACGGATACTGAACGTGATGCAAATGCAAAAAGCTGCTGTTATCGATAGTTTTTTTTTATCAGCTCTCTTTACAGAAGGCGGGCTGTTGCGACTTGTTGGTGCAGTTATACAAGATTTGCTGGATTGATTGATTGTTGACCCAACACCAGTTGATAAATATATGTACCAAAACAAATCCGATAAGCCCTGACCAAGCATGTATGTACAAAACGGACCACGCCTACACTGCCTAAAGCCTAACGCAAAAATCGTACGTAAAGTGCTTGCGTGCGTATGTGTGTGGGCTAACGGTACAAAAAAAAAAGAGGCGAACAATATAAAAAGTTGAAAGGTCGAGAACTGTTTCAAGCAAATGTGATTGATTCGATTGATATTTATGATGGTCGCAATCGGCGTTCCGCTTTGCTGGCTGATCCTCCACTTTTGCCTCCTTCTCCGCACACATTCCGCCGAGCTCTCCTCCGCAAGTGCACCACTTACCACTGCTGCTGTGCGTTGCTTTCGGTTGTTGCTGTTGCTGCAAATGTTGCTGGTGCTGCTGATTATGATTGCTGCGGTAGCTGAAGAGAAAACCAGGCTGGACAATTGTTGCACGTTGCTGCTGCTGCTGTTGGTGTTGTTGCTGTTGCAGCGCCTGTTGATGCAGTTGTTGCTGCTGCTGCTGTAAAGCCACGTGCTGCTGCTGCTGTTGCTGACGCACTGCCACAACCACCGTGTTGCCGGCCAACTGCTGATGGTATTGGTATTGATTTGGCGGCTGTTGTTGCTGTAGTGTAGCGGCAGCAGCAGCAGTGCCGGGAGCAACAACAACAGCTGCCCCTGCTGTCAATTGATGTTGCTGCAGATGATGTTGTGGCTGCTGTTGCTGACCGGCTGCTGCTGCGGAACTCACACAGGAACCCGTTTTGCTACGTGAACTGCGGCGCAATGAAGAATGTTGCTGCTGTGCGTAGGCCGTATGTTGCTGTTGTTGATGTGTTGGTGGCGGCACAAATGTTGCTGCTGCGTAACGTGGCTGCTGATAGATAATAGGCGGCGGCGCTGCACGTGGTTGTTGCGACCCTGTGGAGTTATAGTGTTGTTGTTGTTGTTGGGGGTGTTGCTGCTGTTGCTGCAGATTAAGCACTGCAACAGCAGCTGACGAACTGTGATAATAATGCGGCTGCTGTCGCTGCTGCTGATGATGTTGCTGTTGCTGTTGCTGTTGCTGATGGTGTTGTGGATGTTGCGGATGATGATGTTGCTGCTGTGCGGCGGCTGTGAAATATGCTGCCGCTTGAAAATGTTGTGTTGCTGGCGCTGTGGGTGTCACAAAGGAAGACAAATGAGCAGCAGCAAACTGATGGGCGGGAAGCAGCTGTTGCGGATGCGACACCGACTGCTGCTGCTGCTGTTGCGTTGCATACGGCTGCATGTGTGTGGCTGCTGCTGCTGTTGCTGACTGTGCCTGTGTTGGCTGCGTAGCCAGCACACTGTAATCAACAATGCCAACAGCCCCAGCAGCAGCGACAGCGGCGCTTGTGCTGCGTGTGGCACGTGCCGCCGCCCCGTGAGCCACAATCTGTTGGCCAGGGGGGGCGGCACGCTGATAGCCCGACGTTGTTGTTGGTGTTGTGCCTGTTGGTGTTGTTGGTGTTGTTGTTGCTGCTGCTGCTGCTGCTGCGGCTGCTGTTGTTGTTGGATGTGTGGCCAGCGTGTTTTTGTTCTGCTTGCTGCTGCTGTTGTTGTTGTTATGACTTGTGGCTGTTGTGGATTTGTTGCTGCTGCTGCGTTTTGAGCGTGCCACACCTTTTGTGGTGGTTGTTGTTGTTGCTGTTCTTGTTGTTGCTGCTGTTGTTGTTGTTGCTGCTGTTGTTGCTGCTGTCGTACGTTTTTTTGTTGTTGGGCGGCAAGTAGAGAGGGGGGTAGAGTAGTGGGAAACAACAGTTAAACAGCTTTGTTTTTGTTTAGTTTTTTTTATAGTTTGTTATTTTTTTTTGCTTGCAGCTACTCTACTACGTTAGTTGTTGTTGTTGCTTTTGGGTAATGGTAAAATGCAGTGGCTTAGGTATAAGGTAAGGGGAGAGCACTCGGCTGTATTAAGTGGGTTGGTTGCGTACTAGAGAGCTGGACGTGGGTCACTGACAATGATGATGTTGCTGCTGCTGCTGCTGTTGCTGTTGCTTCTGCTGTTGTTGTTGTTGTTGTGGCTGTGGCTGCTTCTGCTGCTGCTGTTAGTGACTGTTGCTTCTCGGCACTAAACTACTTTTACGTTGTTGTTGTTGTTGATGTGCATATAGATGTGTTCGAAGTCACATGTAAACGACGCACACACATACACATACACACGCACGCAAGCTTGAGAGAGACTACAGCATCATGTTACTGCGGCAGTTGCTGCTTCTATTATAGCTGCTTCTGCTGCTGTTGCTGTTTGCTTTTGCTGCTGCTGCTGTCGTTGCTGTCGTTTTCGTTGTTGCTGCACTTTTGTTGTTGCTGCTAATAGTTGTTGTCGTTGTTGTTGTTGCCGCCGCTGCTGTTGCTGCTGCTGCTGCTGCTGCTTCTGCTGCTACTTAAAAACCTTCTGTCTTGCTCTCTCTTTTTGTTTTTCTTTCACTCATTTGCTTTCTGTCTTGCTCACACTGCGACGGCGCCCCTGCTTGCGCATATGTATGTTAATTATATATGATATATGCTTAAGATATATAATATATAATTTAGTTTGCTTGCACAAAAACAACAACATCATCATCATCATCATCATCAACAACACAAGGCATCAGCAATGAAATATGCTACATATTTATGACGTATAGCATATACACACATATTTATATTTATATATAGTTAAATTGTTTATATAAATATTTATGAGCTGGCATTAACACATTAATATTAATAAAAAATAATAATATATATGTTTGCAACAACAACAGCAACGTGCAAAATGAAATTTTGAAACAAACTTTTGGAGTTTTACAACACTGCTAGGCACCCCAGTGCATAGTACGATAATACAAATTGAAAAAAAAAACATTGTGTACACACTGGCCACGTACTAGATCAAAACACTTGGCAATATATGCAAGGCTTTTGCATAAAAATTTAATTAAAATTTATCGCATAAGAATAGATAATAAAATAAATGTAAATATGTAAGAGAAATGAATGGGCGTATTTTCATTGGAATGTGAGATATTGAATTGATGAGTGAAATTGAATATTAATTGCCGCTTGAATAAGTATATATGTAATATATGAATAAGTCTATATATATATACATTATATATATGTATGTAGGATCTTCCTTCTGATAATTAAGATGGCACAGCACACAGGGACTTTTCGAAGGGCGAGTAAGGTGATGTGGGCGTGGTTAGAGTCTATATCTAAATAAATGAGTGTGTATATATACCCTTGCCTCTTGAAATGGGCATTCGCAATTCGTCAAGCAATATCACATATATATATAATTAAGACTCCTGATCAGAATTTTTACCTTATTTTTAAGGTAAATTAATTGCACTTTTTGAAAATGGTCAAACTTTGAAATGTGTCAACAAGGCAGTTAGTATTAGTTGTTAAACTACTATTTTTATATGACATGCACGCTATTTCGTGGTTGTTGCAGTTTTTTTTACAAATTCTTTAAATGTTTTTCGTTCTAAACAGCGCGACGTTAAATATGCGACTGACTTTTGCCAAAGTGCGTTGGCATTGCGAACACTCGCACACACATGTGCATTATACATGTGTATATATAGAATTTTATCAACAAAACAATTAATATTATTTGAGTCTGTGTGTGGTGACTGCATGACGCTGCGCAAAAGGCAATTGGACAAGAAAATGTTTCACTTCTTGATAAGAAATTCGCGCACTTGACAAAAATAACGAACAGAAATAGATGAATTAAATTCCCCGTTTTATGGTGTGGTGACACTGGCCCATTTGTTAATACAATGCACAAACTTACAAGAGAGTTAAGAGCATTCGGAATTTAATGGAAAGCACCAAATGAATAAAGGAAATGTTACTAATAAAGGAAAGTTCAACTTATTACTTATATATACAAGAAATCAATAATGCAAGCATTTCACTAAAAATTCACAAGCTATCTACACAATATAATTTACAAATACAGTTAATTAATGTGTTCAGAATATCGAAGACTGGAACTACGAACAAGACTCTCTATTAAAATTGATCATTTACTTTTAGATTACTTCAACAAAAATGCCAAGAATTGTTTTGCTCGTTACACTGGATTGCACTGAGCAGCAATTTGTTATCGATAAACGTGTGTGCAACTCTGCCAATTGAATTAACATATTTTTTATATAAATATAAATATTTAAAAAGATTGTCACATTAACTGAAACGCCCTGCAATATTCATAATATTCATTTATGATCATAATTATAAAAAGCTCTAATTGATCTTGCCATAAATTCCAGTCTTGATATTCTATTAATATAAATCAGTTGAATTTCCAAAAATATATCACATAAGAATGGGAAATCGACTGATTTGTAGACTTAGCACATGTCTCACCTGGAGGCAACTTAATCTAAAACAAATATCAACTATAAACTAATTTTTTTATATTACAAACTTTCAATTAATCGATTTTTAATCAATTCTGTATAGCTAGTGTATATTCATATATATATATAGTAAATGGGGGGAAAAGAAAAGCAAAACTCACCACCAAGTTCACCAATAATATGCTCAGCGAATTCACCCTCTGAAAGATCGTCTTCTTCTTCGTCGAAATCCTCTTCAAGATCGTCGTCTTCCTCGTCGTCCACGTCCTCCTCTTCGCTGAGTTCGTCCTCTTCGGCAACGATTTGGGCGTCCTCTTCGTATGATGAATCCGCCGAGTTGACTATTTCGTAGAAACCCACTTCCTCCTCCTCGGCTTCCACTTCCTCCTCTTGGTCTTGATCTTCGTCTTCCTCCTGGTCCTGTTCGTCCTCCTCGGCGGAGTTGTTGCCGCCGGCGGCCTCAAACAGCCCGTTCGCACCACCGTCAACAGCGGCTGCAGCGACGTCCTCCTCTTCGTTGACGTCTACGTTGCTGACCTCCTCCTGGGCCTCTCTACGCTGCTGGTGGTCCTCCAAGTTACCGCAAATGTTCTCGTTATGCTCCACGTGCTCGTTCTCGTCCGGAATTTTATCCGCTGTCGCGTCAATTCTGGCGAGCAGCTGCTGCTGATAGTTGCGTAAATTCTTGCGGTACTTAATGTACTTGTTGTTGCTGTTGTTCTTCTTGTCCAGTCGCTTGACAGCGACGTTATTGTTGTTGTGGTTGTTGGAGTCCTGACGCGCTGCGTCTATAGCTGCGGCCGCTGCTATAACCGCCGAACTGCTAGCCTGCAGGCGTGCGTGGGCGGTCTCTGGAAATTTACCTAGCAAATCCTCCTGATCTGGTTGCTGTTGTGCTGCAGGCGCAACTGTTGCTGTTGCTTGTGAGGGCTTGGCGCGCGTGTGACTCACTTTGCGGGTCTTGCGGTAATAGTTGAGCAAGTTGCTGCCGCTGCTGCTGTTGCCCCCGCTTGTGCTGCGTACTGCTGCTCGGACAGCTGCCCCACGCTGTGGCGTCACACCAATCACGTGCTGACAGTTGCTGTTGCTGCTACTGTGACGCGCTGCGGCCGCGCTACTCGTGCTTGGCAGATCCTCGGGCGTGAGAGTCTTGGAGCGTGTGCGCTGGGCCACACAATCGCCGCCAGATGTCAGGCGTGGTGTATGTTGCAGCTGAATAAGCTGCGGCGCTGGTGAGTCCTCTGATGCAGTTGCTCCTTCAGCCGGCGAGGCGGCTTCGCTGACAGTTGCAACTGCTGCTGTGGCTGGTGGCTGTTGCTGCTGCACACGACGCTTCTTCAGCGGTGAATTTAGCTCCACGTACTGATCCCCGCCGGGCGCAGCTGTAAAGGACATGACGACAACGGAGAACTTTAGTAGCGACTGTGCGTGTGATTATTTCAATTTAATTTAAATTTTTTTAATATTTTTTATGAGTGGTTAGGATTGTAGTTCAGAGTTAGGGATGGGATTGGTTTGATAGTGAGGGCGGTGGTGGTGGGGAGGGAGAAAACTTGCTTATAAATTTGATGATTCGAGAAACCAAAAAAAAAAATTGGCAAAATTGTTTCTAGTCTTTTAGTTTATATTATTTTTAATTTTTTGAAGGGTGTGGCGCTGCTGTTGTTGATGACCTTTACAATTTAGACAAACAAAAGTATTATGCTCTATAGTTTTTTATTGCCGGAGCCCAACAAAGCAAACGTAATTCCTTTACTTATTTTTCTTTCACTCACTTTCTCTCTCACTTCTTCTCGATTTGGATACTCAACACTCAAACTAACCCTATGCAATGTGTCAAAACTGAATTACTTTGCGATATATGCATAGAGTAACTATCGACATCCTATATCAGAGTTGGCGATAAACTACAACTGAGACTTCAAATTTACACATTTTTAAATGTTTTTTAATTTTTTTTTTTGATCGAATAAATAAACTATGATCGAGTATGGAACTCAAAAATTAAATTTAGCATCCTACGATTAAAATGTTAAAGGTTCTCAATTTGAATTAGGGAAGATATCGATATGCCTTTGGCGATGTATCGATTGGCACTTGAAACAATTGAAATTAAAACAACCTATTTTAACGATCCAGTTTCTTTGGCCTAATTATGGATTATGGAACTATAGTGAGCAATATCTAAGTCGCTTTGGTAATCAGAATATATTAATTTACTCACATGGACGTTGTTGCTGGTTGTGGCTCTTGATGTAGTTGAGGTTGTTATTCTGCTGTTGCTGATGTTGGCGCTTGCGGCTGCCTGGCGACAAGGATAAGTCGTTGACGTTTCCGTTATTTGATGATGTGGTGGTGGATGTAGCGCTATTAAATTCTGCGGAGCGTCGATTAACTTCAGTAACGGTGGATTTCTTGTTGATCTTGCTGTTGTTGGTTGTTGTTGATGTCGCTGTTGCTGCTGTTACAATTGACGTAAGACTGCGACTCTTACTGCGCGAACGACATGCGAAGGATGTGGCAGAAGGCGCAGCAACAGCAGCAGTTACTGTTGACGATGTTGCTGTTGACGCTGTATTGCGTTTCTTGCTGTTATTGCTTTTATTGTTGTTATTATTGTGAATGTTATAATTGTTGCAACGGCGTTGCGTATTGGCTATGGCAGTTGTTGTTGTTGTTTTACTACCGTCGTGCTGCCCCTCCGTCAATGCAGAGAGCGTTTGACTTTTAACGGACTCGGCCATAGACGACACTTAACCGCACTGGCATCGAACACACTTAACATGCCAACTTCACAGAGAATTGTTTGCAATTATAAATTGTTGTCTTAAGTCTAAAATCTTGTGCTAAATAATATTGAAATTAAACCACACAAAGATTGCAGAGTCTTGATAATATATCTATAATATTAATTGCCTTCACACACACTTTCTGAGTTTATTGGACTTATTTTGATTTTTTATTTAGCTTTTTTCAGTTTTGCTGAGTGCACGCTGCGAATTTTTGTTTATTGCAGGCAGCGGAGAGTTTTGTGCTGTAATTGTAAAAAATAATAGAGCACACAAATTGATTAGTAAATGTGAAATTTTTATTTATTTATTTAATTTTTATTATTTACTCTTGACGTTTGCCGTCGCTTACATCAAAAAAATGACAGCAAGGCACATACTGGAAATCGATAGATTTATTAAGTTGGCTGCACTAAAGATAAATGCAGTCAACATAACATGTATTAAAACAAAGCAGCACAAAAAATAAATAACGTCGCAAGCGAATACAGTTCTAAATACAAATAGGTAGAGGCCTGAACGCCGACCTAATGACTATTGGGGTGAAGAGCCGAATGAGAATAAACTAAAAAGATCAGTGAAAGCAAAATAGGAAGTGCCCGAAGGGTAGTCTATGTATGGTGTGTGTGTGTGTGCGTTGTGTGTGTGAAGCAGAGCTGAAACAAAGAACCGGTCGCTGTCACCAAGGATAGTAGCAGATTTGGTGCCCCTTTCAGACAGGTACTTACATATATATATGCAGAAATAAAGGAAAAGCCAGCAGAAAAGAAAATGATAAGCAGCAGCAGCACACAAAAGAATACACCACCATCAAAACATATATATATACCCGTAAACTCACTCTCTCACTCACTCGCTCGCTCGCACACACGCAGTTGAGCACAATTCAACAACATATGTGCGCAGTAAGCACATAGAGATATGTTAATAAATTAACAGCTGTTTGCAGCAGCAGCAGTCACCAACACGTGCATGTGCCCTAAAGATAGAGAGCGTGAGTGAGAGCGAGCGACCACGCAGATGTGGCGAGCGACTTGTTTTGAGTGAAAACCATCTATATCACACTCAACTCATATACAGGCAGAGACAGAGCTTACATAAAGTGAGCGCGCACATGCTGCGCTGTTAATCAGCTGTTCTCGGCCGTTTTGTTTATATTTTGGTTTTCGTAAGCAGCGCTACGTTGCGTTGTTGGCTGACTGCCCCTTCTTCCTATTTATGTGCGAGCGAGCGAGCAACGAGTTGGTACTAGTTTGTGTGCGTGTGTCCGCTGTGCCTGTGTATGTGACTTGTCATGCTTGTTTCGTCGCTACGAGAACGCAATGCACGATCCCGCATATATACACACGTTCACGCACACATGCACGGAAACGTATGAAAATACAATAAGCACACGCGACGAAAAAAAGATAAAAAGCAAAACAAGCAAAAGGCAATTGTAGCAGCACAGCAGCACAGCAACAAAGCAAAACGTGTTGGCGGCAACGGCAACATCGCCCTTTGCAACGCTGGCAGACTTCACATCGTCTTAGCTACACTAGACAAAATAAGTGCGTAGTTTATGCGTGTGGGCCCTCATATTTAGCTCATACTTTGTGAACTATTCATATATGACACGAAAACCAACAAAACCAACCGTCAATCACAGTAAAACGAATTGAGTTCAAGGTCGCCTTAAATGAAGCCAGCAACGCTGCCGACATGAAAATTTGTTTGAATTTGATTTTTTTCGCCAGTTTTGTCTATCTTGCAACCACAAGTTTTTCACACCACAAAAAAAAAAACTAAATAAAAACAATACAAAAAAATGCGCGAGGCCGCAGCGCCGTATATATATATATATATATGATAAATATGTATATACATATATGTGCGTGCAAGAGCGAGCGTTTTCCTCGCGTGTGGCAACTCCAACATATGGCATGTGGTTTGTTTGTCAATGCTGTTGCTTTATCAGCAATTGAAAATTGTAAAGGGCCTCGACTTTTACAAACATATATGTATGTATGTTTGTATGAACTTTATGAACGTATAAATTCATATAGCTAAACTGATATTTTCAATTTAATAATTTATTTTTTTTTAAACTACGACTCCGCGGTTTGCTCTACCGAGCTTTCACTGTACACCACTTTTTCTATGTACATAGAAGTCATGTCCATTGCAATTATCTTTGGCTCACCCTGCTGACAAACATAATACTGATAAGAATTTGTGTTTCTATTTCACTTACAATCCGAACTACCCCCCACCCCCCCCCAATCCTCGCAGCCATTAACTTCTACCCCTTTTGTAGTGCGTATTGTTTGCAACTTATTTGTATACATACACTTATACATATGTATATTGTTGTAAACTCAGTCGAGCATATGACGACGCTAGTCAACATAACGGACTACAAACAGTGTTGCCCCATCAAGTTTTCTAATTTTTTTTTCATTTCTGTTTCTTCACTGCTTTTCTATTTTCTATTACGAAACTGCTTTTGTGGCCTACGCACAGCTGAGCAGCAGCAGCAGCAGTGAATGTGAGAGCGAGAGCACACTAGGAAAGTGGGGTGTGTATTTTGTGTGTGTGTGTGCATCAGCGCTTTCTACAGGGTGGAGGGGGACTACAATAACCAAAGGGCCCGTCGTCACTGTGGCAACTTAACCGTAAAGTAAATTGCATTGGAAAATTTTCGTGTCACGCTGCGACGCAGTTAAAGCCAGGCTGCTAAATGAAAAGAACGCAATAAGGCACTCGAAATATGTGTATGTATGTGGCAACCCTGGCAAGCTAAGTGCATGCAACAATTAGAATAGAAACCTTGCCATTGCTATTGTTGCAGTTGCAGTTGCCTGGTAGAATGTTGGCGAAAAGAGGCGATTCCACTTCTCTAAAAAGTTCCAATAGCAACAGTACTCTTAAACATACAGAAATATATATATATATATATATATATATATATATATATATATATATATATATATATATATATATATATATATATATATATATATATATATATACATATATATATATATATATATATAATAATAAACTTGTTGCTAATCGCAGTAGAAAATGTAGTAACCAAATAAATTAATATACAAACATACATACGTCATTGATGGGCATTTACACCAAGTGTTATATACGAATGTGCTATATAAGCACTTGAATATACAAGCAAGTCTATATACTGTTATACACACACAAAGAGAGAGAGTAAATATAACAGAAAACTCGTACATTTACTGCACTTCAATAGCATTGAAAGGGAAATACAAATTGTTTCTCAAATGCAGAAGTTTAAATTTAATAAATATTTCCCTTATTTACTTTTTTCCTTTAAATTTATTTGTTGTGCTTCCTTTGCTGACGACTGTCGATTTCCAGTAAAAATACAAAAGGGAGCACAAGTAGCGACGCAGGCAACGTTGTCGCTTACCTCGGCCTGTGCATGACAGAGAACGCACGAGGGGCAAACACATGACGACGTTACACTAACACAGACACATACAGCCCCAATATCTCTCTCCCACAAACACACACAGTCTCATATTCGAGGGTATGTATACGTGTGTACATAACGTAAGCAAAGCGAAGGCAAAAATTGCTTGAAATAAACGAATGCAGCACAAAGCATTTCAATAAAAATTGTTGCATCGTTTTCAATTGCTACGTAATATTTAATGAATGTACTTTTTAATTATATAAATATTTACTGCACTTTTGCTATACATTATGTACTTGCCCACACACAGGTATATAGAAAATTACGTTTTCACGAACCATTTCGCAGCTGTGCACGCACTGAAAGCCAACTCACGACTGACAGCAGCAACGTCAATGGCGACCCCGTGTGAACGAAACGAAACGAGAGAACGAGCGAATGAGTGCAAAATGAGTGAGAGTGATTCAGGCGAGAATCCATTTTAGAGACCCATACAGCCACATAAAATATATGTTAAATTCAATATTCTATGTATGTAGTGTGGTTAATCAAGCCGAATCAAAAGTGCAATCAATATAAATGTCAATTTAATATCAATATCTAATTTAAATAGATGAGACAACTAAACCAGTTCAGAGCGGGCCACAAAGGCACTCAGCAGCCCGTTAAGCAGGTCACTCAACCCTTGTCGCTAAATGACAATGAGGTCAACAAACCGACTCAGTCACTGTACTAACGGACTTTTTTATTTACTTTAATTTATAATTTTATATTGCTGCCGTTTCAATAAATTGAAATACAATCTTAAAAAAAACGTCGTCCATTACTGACAAATGAATTTCAATTTCACTCAAAATGGCTGCGAACAGAGAGAGTGAGAGAAATAGAGCGAGCGAGCGAAAGAGCAGGAACACAGTCCGATGTATATGGGGGATGAATGTGCAGTCGCTGCTCGCTGGAATTTTTTTGTTTTACCTGTGATTGCGTCTGTTAGAGTGGAACTAATATTGACCTGATCAGCTGATCGCGAGAGTGCTGTGTATGTATGCAGTCGTATCTGAGTATAATTCTTGGGTTACACAAACAGCTGTTCATTGAAGTCGACAACTCACACATCTATACACATTTATTGATATGCAAATGTACGTATAGTTCGTGACTAATCTTCTGATAGGGTCTCTGAATAACTGACCTGTCAGTTTACTCGTCGGGAGGCACAAGAAGTTTAAACAAATTAAAAACAAACGCAATAAATATAACAGCCACGTATGGCAGTCCCAGCCAGACAGAGACTGATAAAAATAACAGCCACTTGTTTATTTTAAGATAACATTTCAATTTGAGTTTCTTTCGTTTTTATTTAGCAGCTATCGCTTGAATGGGACACAAGCGTACCCAAAATGGCTGTTGACCTGTGTACGAATTGCTGTGAGCACGATTTTGAGCGACCCACGCAGCGCAGTCGACGTCGCTGCTGGCCTACTTGAAAAGCTACTCACCTGCATATGCAGTGTGTTAGTGAAACAACAACAACATGATTTAAATGCAACTAGCTGGCAATCGCGAGTGAGCAAACAGATGAGGTTGTAAAACCAGTAACAAAAAAACAATAAATATGCAAACAAATAACAGCTAACAGCTACATACATATAAACATAACAGGCAATGCAACAGCTCAAAAGAGCGAGCGCCCAGTCAGCGTCAACGTCACCGTCGCCGTCGCCGCCGCTGCACACCGAAAAGAGGCCACGGCCTGCACAGCAGCAACTGCCGAATTGGGGCGAGCAGCGCAGAGAGCACAAATAAAGAAAAAGCAAAACAACAAATACAAATAAACTTTCGCTTATCGATGATGTGCTGGCCATTTGCATATCGATATTTGGCGCACGCATATGTGCATATCGATATTAGTTTATTCGCGCTTAGTTTTGTTCATTCTTAAATTTAAATGCAAACAGCAGGAAGAATCGAATGTAGAACCACATTGCTGCGAATATCCAGCTGCAAACAGATGCAACGTTCACTGTCAATCCCGATCATGATCTCCTCATTGGGCAACTGCAGTGCGTTGAAAAAAGCAGATGCTTTACGTGTGTCTACGGAACAGGAGACGTCCGCCTCAGCTTCTGCTCCTACTTCCGACTGTTCCTGATCCGGCTTGTGCAGCAGCACGCGGCTGAAACGCGTTGTTATGGTAGCCATATCAGATTCGGCCACCAGATTTAGTTCACCGGCAGTGCTGCCATGGAATATGAGACTTGGCGATATATTTTTTAACTTATCAATCAGACTACGTAGTAGACGAAGCGAAGGAATTCCGAGGACAATCTGTGTGTTCGGCACCTTGGGCAACATATAAGAGATCCAATCGCTGGGCGGGACCACGGTAACGGGCACATCGTGCACCACCTCACGAGGCTCAGAGGAACTGGGCGATACCACCGACGCTATCACTGAGATGCATGGAAATTGTATTTGCTTCAGATTCAGTTTACAGCTGTGGACACTACTGCTAGAGCCAGAACGTAGGACTGCCAGAGCGCGACTCAGATGCATTGCGGACATAACAAGCACTATGAACTCCTGCTCAGGACGTGCTGGCGTCATTTGGAACTCTGGAAAATAGTCTTTCGATGCTATGCTGACCCACACGAGCGGCGATGAGGTTGAGCAATGCTCCTCGTTTACAATGAAATGCATTTGCTCCTGCGCCAATATCATGATGCAATCCTTGGCCAGCTTGGCCAACGTGGCGGCAATCGCATGAAACTCGCGCATGTAGAGCACGTCCAGCATCTCGGCATAGAACTTCATGGCAGCCAGAGACCAGTGGCTGAAGGATGCGACGACGTGCAGCAAACACGAAAAAAAAAACAAGAAAAAATAAAACAAAAATCAAACGCTGGCTGCCAAAAAAAAGTAGAGAAGCAGCACAAAGAAGAATATCAACAGTACTCCAAAACGTAAGGCGAATTACGTATACCCTATACAATATAAGAGCTTTATATTTTAAATTTTACATTCTTGTTACAACACCTCGCACTTATAAAATTTTCTATCGCAACAATCATGAGATTTTTTAATTTGTACCTTTCGGCAATTGAAAACATTAAACAGAACAACCAACACGATTACCAAACAAATACACTTCAAAACACTTTATAAAAAAACAACATAAATGGGGAACGTGACAGACTTGCAACTCGAGACGACTCCAGGAATAGGACAGAGCACTGGGCCTGGCACACGAGTTCAATGTACAAAGGCGCACTTATACACAAATAAAAATACAAGCACACATACACGGGCGCAGGGCAAAGTCAGCCAGGCGATGGGCAGACAAAGCGCAAAGCAAGTTCGAGTTGTGTTTTGGCTTTTTGAGGGGGCGAAACAGCGTGGAAAGAGTAAAGCAAATGAAACACACACCAATGCGTTAACCCTCTCACATACCCGCTCGCTATGCATACAAGAATCCGCCGTCAAACATACTCACAAACACGCACACACACTCAGACAAACAACAGGATTTTGTTTTTATTCGCTGCACTGGAAAAAAGGAAGGCGTCTACATGGCCAACTTGCTGCTAGTGGAAGTGGTATTAAAGGACGGTAGCTGGTCCTCACTCTCGGCAACGGAAATCAAATTATGTATATGTGGCCCGTAGGCGTCGACGACACTGACGGTCGCTTCAACGACGGGCTGCTCTGGCGTGCGTTTGGGGTCAAAATATTTTCCTTTTACAGTTCAATCAACTTTCAAGGTTATATGCCATGGCTGTGCTGCCACATTGTTGGTACAAGTGTCACCTAGTTGCAGCGCTACCTTTACTAATTAACTGCGATGTCCGAAAATTGAACAATCGATAATTTTAATTTTAGCAAACAAACATTTAAACGTGGCCTTGATTTCTTTTGCTCACATGTTTTTTGTTTGGTAGTATCCCATTTCCAATAAAAGTTTAATAACAGATTCTCAATGACGTCACACAAGACGCGTATGTATTTCATAAGCATGTGTAAGTATATTCAAATGGCGATCATTCCTGCTGCTGTGGAGCATTACTTGCAAAAACTGAGCACGAGTTGCCAATCACCAGAACAAACCTTCAGCGCAACTCAATGCAATGTGACCATAAAAGCTAAACAAATAGATACATACATACATTTGTATATACATATGAATATATGAATGTATAAACAAACACACACGCGCACCACAATGCACACTGAAAGCCATATAAAAAGCTGACAAGAGGCCAAAATTAAATACAAATAAAATAAAATAAAATACGGTGCGCATGAAATTCAACGTGACTGCATAGAGGGAGTCGAAAATACACACTTGGACCCTGAGCATAAATAAAAGAGAAAGTAAAAACTTAAGATGCTGAGCATCAGTCCGAAAAAAATAATGCATGCATATAGATTAATAAATACACAGATCATTTTCAAAATAGAATTAAACAAATCTATATACACACACTCTGACAAAGGCGCACTCACACACACACACAATAACATTCGGTAGGACACACATTTGCTGCGCTGATCAGCGTTGCCAACCAAGTGAAGACTGGACTGTGGCAAACATATTTCTCATTCCCGATCAATAATTGTTAAGCTTATAATGAACAATAAATACTAGTTATATGTACATCTAATCACTCTTTGTTAAACATGCCAGGCCATTTTCTTTGCATTTTAAGCGAATGTAAAAATCAATATCGCTCGCGTTACCTCTGACACACAACTTAGTCGCTGCACACTTTGTAACACTGGGATTGTGTCGTTTTTTGCATATTCTCATGAATAGGTATACAAAATATATTATTAAGTACTTGTCGAAATCAATAAATGCACACGAAACGAATCCGAAATTGTCTAAAGAGCTATAAAAAAATGCAAATGGTCGACATTTTGTTTTCTGTCTGACAGGCCACTCGCTGCTGCTGCTGCTGCTGCTGATTCGACGAAATACACAAATATATGTATATATATGGATGCGAGTGTATGTGTGTGTGGATGTCTCGTTTGACTGACCAGCGGAGCACCAGCAGCAAAGTTACGCTCGGCACTTGCAATACGCTAAACACATTGCATTTACATAACTTTGTTGAGTTGAGTGTAATGCATACATGATACACTTACCTTGTTGATATTTGTTTATAATAATTTGCACAATTTTCACAGAGTTTACAATATTTCAATCTCTACACGTAACAAAACTCCGACTCCGACACTGCTGTCAACAGCACAGGTCACACTGTTCCCGAAAACAGTGTTACCAAAAACCGTATAACGAAAAATCCGTAAAAATATCGATAAATCACTTTATACTAGTGCTATAGCACTAGTTGCAAGCATTGGCAGCAGCTGTTGTTGTTGATATATTGTATATCTTGTGTGGTGGCTAACAAATAAGTATCGATACCCTAATTATTGTAATTTGTATTTTTTACAAGAAAAAACATCCCGCGCACAGGCAATACTTATTCTTATATTATACAAAATCAAACTCATTTTTATAAATTTCAACAAAAAAAAAAAACTAATGGATACGTGACGTCGATAGACATTCACACACAGTCATACTCACACATACACTAAGTTCTACGTGCATTCAGAGACGCTCCCAATAGGAACGCGCCAACAGTCATAAAGAGACAACAACAATCGGCTTATCAGAAACACAAGAACAATAAATAAAATAATAGAAAATTAACTGTAGGAGCAACATTAGCTTAGTCAACATTCGACTTGCATCCTACGCAAAGCTGTTCGCGCTGAGAATTTATTGTTGATTCTTCTGTGACGTGTCCTAGTTACCACAATTACAGCAATGTGCGGCTCACCCAACACAGTTACCGGCTCTGGTGCCCGGGCACTCATCCTGGTGGGTGGGTATGGCACACGTCTGCGTCCGTTGACACTGAGCACACCCAAACCTTTGGTGGAGTTCGCCAACAAGCCAATATTACTACATCAGCTAGAGGCGCTTGTCGATGCGGGTTGCCGTCAAGTGAGTTTTTATTTGCACAACAACAACAGTTACATAAACAAATTTCTCTACAATGTAGGTCATATTGGCAGTCAGCTATCGGGCTGAACAAATGGAAGAAGAACTAAAAGTAGAGGCAGACAAACTGGGGGTCGAGCTGATCTTCTCACATGAAAGCGAACCGCTGGGCACAGCCGGGCCACTGGCGCTGGCTAAGCCATTATTGTCGGCCAGTGCGGAACCATTCTTTGTGCTCAACTCAGATGTGATTTGTGATTTCCCATTCAAGCAGCTCATGCAGTTCCATCGCAACCATGGCAAAGAGGGCACTATTGTGGTGACCAAAGTGGAAGAGCCATCCAAATATGGTGTTGTGCTCTACGACGAGCTGGGGTGCATTACAAATTTTATTGAAAAGCCCCAGGAGTTTGTCAGCAATAAGATCAATGCCGGTATTTATATATTCAATCCCTCGGTACTTGAGCGGATCGAAGTGAAGCCGACGTCCATCGAGAAGGAAGTATTTCCGGACATGGCCCAGCAGCAGGAGCTGTTTGCCATGGAGCTCACCGGATTTTGGATGGACATTGGACAACCGAAAGACTTCTTAACCGGTGCGTCATCGTTTCTGCTATGCATCACTTTTCCTTATCAGTCGACCGTGCAGCAACTTATTATCTGGTTTCTTGGAATAGTCGATTGATATATTTAGCTCCAATGCATGATATAATGTTTCTAATGAGCCGTAATTGTTGATAAGCTGTCTTACGGGGGCCGGGCTGGGGGATGCTAATGAAAGCAAAAGCAAGCAATTATAGTTGTTTTTCGATTTCAGGTATGTGCCTCTACCTGAGCTCGCTGCGCCAGAAGCAGTCGAACAAACTGTACACGGGCCCCGGAGTTGTGGGCAATGTGCTTGTCGATCCAACCGCAAAGATTGGCGAAGGCTGTCGCATTGGACCAAATGTTACCATTGGGCCCGATGTGGTCATCGAAGATGGCGTCTGCATCAAACGTTCGACCATCTTAAAGGGCGCCAACGTGCGCTCGCATTCCTGGCTAGACTCCTGCATCGTGGGCTGGCGTTCGACAGTTGGCCGCTGGGTACGCATAGAAGGTATCACAGTGCTCGGCGAGGATGTCATTGTCAAGGATGAGCTATATGTGAATGGCGGTCAGGTGCTGCCACACAAGAGCATCGCGGCCAGCGTGCCCGATCCACAAATTATCATGTGAAATCGGACCCAGTTGCTCCATTAGTGGCCCGTTGTAAATATAATTTAGTTGTTTCATTTGCACCGATTGCCTTGTGTTTGTTTCGCTGTCAACATGTCAATATTCTAAATACGAAAAAAAAACAAACTATACACATTTCCATTACTTAGCCTGGCCAAAACATAGTCTTAAGACTAGAGTCGGGCGGCATTTTTGACCAAAACTTTTTCACAAATGAAGCATAAGTTTTTTTACTTAATCTAAATTGTAGTCAAATATATATATATATCAATTATATTCTATGTATTATAAATATAAAAGAGAAAACTTGATTGTTATTATTGTTCGCGGACTCTTTTTCGAGTCCCTTATCAACAGCATTGCTCGATTTGCAGAGCAATGCAACTTATTTATCACACAAACGTAGGGTATTTAATCCTCGGCTATCTGAAATTTAGTATTCCTTGTGGTTGCCTAGCAACGTTGGCATAACACAAATCCCGATTTTCTGGCTAAAAATGTTGAAAACTTTCAGCAAGGCGGATATAACCCAGCAGAATATGCTCTGGGAGGATAAGGAAGTCAAATTCGATGTACCTCAACTGTAAGTTAAGCAGTTTAAGCTAAGTAAAAAGTCTAATTCCCTACAATTCGCAGGCACACACGTTTGCACAGCGGCGAGAAAATATTGGACACGATCAACCATATAGAGGATAGCAAAGGAAATCCCGGAGATACCGGAAAGCTGCTGGTTACCAATCTGCGCATCCTTTGGCACTCGCTGGTCCATAAGAAGTTTAATTTGTGTAAGGAGTTCACATTTTTAATTTACAGAATATGGCCTAATCCGGGTGTTTGCCTGAGGCAGGCGCTGCATCCTCTGAGACTTCTGTTTTATTAAAGCAACATCTCCCCCCTTTCCCGTAGACTACGTTCAAGACAGGCTATAACTGTTATACAGTATAAAAAATGAGTCGAATCTCTAATTGCAGCCATTGGCTATGCCCGAATAGGAACCACCAATACGCGGGTGGTGCACATGCACACCAAAGGCCGCATACCTAGTCAAGCGCTCTACATTTTGGCCATTAGCAATGAGACGCGATTCGAGTTTCTCTTCACGGATGTCTCCGGCGAGACGGCGCGTAGGGAGCAACCCATCTTTGCCAGCATTTTCGATGTGCATCTGTGAGTGACAAGCCTCAGTTAAAATTAGCTAAGATTTTCACTTTCGTTTGTTGCTCTCCAGCTTATATCAGCGCACGTTTCTCTATAGGGATCTAAAGCTGCGGGGCGCCATTGTGCAGGTGGGTCAGCTGATTCTATTGCCGGATGAGCAGGTGTACAGCCAGGTGCAGGGCGTTTGGAATTTGTCCAGCGATCAGGGCAACCTGGGCAGCTTTGTGGTGACCAACATACGTCTAGTCTGGTATGCGGATGCCAATGAGACCTTCAACATCAGTCTGCCCTATCTGCAGATCGAGAGCGTGAGTGCATGAGTACAGGTTCCAAAGGAATTCACACAATTTCATCCACTTTCAGCTGCGCATACGCGAGTCCAAGTATGGTCCCGCTCTGGTCATACAGACTGCCGAGACTGGCGGCAGTTATGTACTGGGCTTTCGCATTGATCCCGTCGAGCGCTTAAGTGAGCTCTTCAAGGAGCTATGCTCCCTGCACACCATCTACACAGATCAGCCCAATTTTGGCGTTCACTATGACCCGGAAGAAGCGCGTAAGCGAGTAGCAGCCGCCGTCGAGGAAGCTGCGCAGGCAACGCAATTCAAGATCGAGGATTATCATGAGCTGGACGAGCGACAGGAGCGTGAAATTAATACGAAGCTAAATAGCTATCTCGCCGCAGGCTGCGCAGGTGCGCTGTCAACGGAGCAACCGACACCGGCGCCTGTCTACTGCAAGGAACTGGGCTTTGCCATGGAACGCATACCGGACGGCTACAAGCTGCAGGATCTGTGGAATTTGATGCCCACTAAAATGACAGATTACGATGACTAAGATACGAAGCAGATGACCCCTTAAACGGAGGGCTAAACCCCGATCTGACATTAGATCTCATCAAGCTGCAGCCAATAGCTGTAAGCCCTGGTTCGAACGCTTTACCAGTCAAATTAGATTCCAGCTGACTTTATGCATATCTAATCGAGATCCATTTTCCAAATGTTTAAACAATCAAAGACAACAAGAAATTTACATTATGTTTGATGGTTTTATTGACGCATACAACTAGCTGTGTGTTTCTCTTTCTTAATGGTTTTGTCTCTTTTAAGTAGTTTTGCTCTTAAGTTCGCTTTATTCAATGATTTTAATTTTGTTTCTTGGAATTAAAACTCGAAACTTGAATAATGCTTGGGGCTTTCAGATAAGCTCTGAGTGTTAGCTGTGTTGCCCAATTCGTTGGTATCTCAATGCTTACAAATTATTTATTTGTAGTTTTACATGTTGTTACTATTCATTTATTTTTGTGGAGTTTCGGTTTTTTTTAAAAGCAAAACAAGAATTTTGCTGACTTTTTGCATTTTGTTTTTTTTAGTTTTATAAATTAATTCATATCACAACACACAGTTGATTTGACCGGCATGCACTATAATCAATATTTATACATATACTATGTATATAGTTTACATATATATTTTTTATTTATTTTTTTTATACTTGAATGAATTGTTTACTTTGTTTTCTAAGCTATAAAGTCTAACAAACTTATTTAAATGTAGGAAAATTAATATTAGTTGTGGCGTTTCTTTACTTTTCTTTTCTTTTTTACTTTTTTTTTTTGCCTCAGAGGCAGTCTGAAATATAATTAAAAAATATTTAAAGAGCCTACGGAAAATTATAGATGGGGCGACAAATTATATATATATACATATATATATATATAGATAGAGATATTAAATGTATTAAAAACAAAATATCATATCAGGAATGGCTTATATATTACGATTTGTATTGTTTTTGTGTTTTCTTTTGTTTTTACAGTTTTCTTAGCTTTTTTTATACTTTTTTCTTACTTTTTAAGTTTTGTTTTGTTAAATTCTTAAACGTTTTTTTAGTTTTTATATCAGTTGCCCTTAGATGAGTTCGTCTCTTTATAATATTCGTTTAGTTTTTCATCAGTCTTGAAGACCAGTTTATGTTGTTATTATATATATATATATATATTTATATATAGAATATTTTTAGGCATATTTACTTAAAGCAAGTGAAGTGAAAATGGGAACAAATACCCAAATTAAACATTTACATAAATTATGAAATATTTAAAGCTAATTTAACGATTACATTTCACACAAATCGAACACAAATCGGGTAAACAAAAAAATCATAATTAGAAAAGTAAACAATCAATAGTTGGCTGTAAACAACTGGAAATGCCCAGCTCGGGTTACAACTGGATAGGATAGGGTATGGAATAGCTTATGATAAATATTTGCTTTGGGCTGTTAGCTTTTACTTATTGTTGTTGCCATTTGGCACTTCACTTGCTTCGGTTCACAAAACAATAGAAATCGCGCTTAGAATTAAACAGTAACTAGAACCAAAGACTTAGGATTTGTGGTTATTGTTTGCTTTTCATTTTTTATATGTTACACAGTTTTGGGCATTGGATTACACGGCGTTCCAATGACTAAACCTAGACATAAACAGAGAAAGAGAGAGATAGATAGAAGGAGGGAGGGAGAGAGTAGGGCGTAGTATTTAGTTGTTGCTGGTGGAGATCTGTAACCGCGCACGCTGACGAGTCATGGGCGGTGATCGACGCATTGGCGATATGGAAGTGCTCTTGGTTGCAGCGCGTCGTTTGCGTTTGGATAATGCTGGAACAGTTGTAGCCGTAACGGTTACGGTGGCTGGTGATGTAGCTGCTTCTCCTTCTGTTGCTTTTGCTGCGCTTCCTACTGCTTTGCGACGCCTCTTGGCTGTTAAGAGCGGCGCACGGCGTCGACGCTTGGTGGTTGTTGCTTTTGGCTTGACTTTGACTTCGCCTGAGCCAGTGCCTGAGGTGTGTATGTTGCTGTTGTCCTTGGTATGGTCTTGTGTTTGAGTGCAACTGGAGCTGTTGCTGCTATTGGCTTCATGTGGCACAAAAGCGGATGCGGTGGCATGTTGTGGCAATGATAGTGTACTGCAATAGTTGCGATTCAATTCAAAATGTGCTTTCAAATAGTGCAAAGAAAAAGTTTACCTGAGCTTTGGTTTAAGTGTAAGCTCCTGCTCCTTATGAACTAGATTCTCTTCGTCCTCGTCCTCATCATCATCATCGTCGACATCACTATACATATTTGCAGAGGGCGGCATAAATTTGGGTCGCTTCAGTTCGAAGCCGCGCGCTTTGTTGCTAAAAATGTACACCTCGCTATAAGTTTAACGAACTTTACCTAAATCAGATGCCACTTACATTTTAATGGGCGTTATGGGCATGGGTCGAATGGGTTTGAACACGCATAGATCCATGAGTAAGCTGTCTGTACTGGCATTCCGTTTTCGCGCTGATGCTGACCGATGTAGCACACTGGGCGCCACCGTGAATTGCCGCAAAAATGCAGCCGTTGGCACTACATATGGCTGGCTGAGCACAAACTGGCGATTGCTGCTGCTGCTACTGCTGCTGGAGCCGGAACTGGTGCTTGAGTTGGAGTTGCCACTGGTGCCCATAATGCCACCAGCGCCAATAAGCTTCCTTTTCAAGCTGCTATCCAACTGTGACGCTAATACGGGAGTTGGTCCATTCATAACCAGAGCCTTTTGCACAGTGTCCTTGATGAATTCGGTGCCCCGATGCAGACGCACAGAGAGAGTTTTCATTATCGCAGTGGCTGCACTGCTGGCAATGGTGCTCGCGCTTGTTGGACATGCCGCCAACGTGCCCGCTCCTCCAATTGGTTGATTGGTTGTGCTCGTGCCTCCACTGACATTGCTAACATTGTTGTTGCTGCTGCTTGTATTGCTACTGTTGTTGTTGTTACTGTTGATTTTACGTGTGGCACTGGAGTCGTAGGTAAAGGGCGCAGTTTGCCCAGCTGATGCCAGCAACATTATTATTACTGCTGTTTAATGCAGCTGCCCACTGCTCCTGCTCCTCTTCGTTCTGCTCTTCTCCCTACTATCGCCTGCAGTTGTTGTTGTTGCTCCGTCAGCTGGTGTTGGAATAGAGACTTTAACATGCCCGGCGTTTGTTTTCTCTTTGTCTCACGCACAATTATTTCACTGTATTTTTTCTGCGTATTTTATCATTTTCTTTTATTTTGGTTGTTTATTGTTTTCACTTATTTGCACTCGTTTCTGTTTTTTTTTTTGTTTTTCACTCTGCTTCTTCTTTCAGTTTCGTCAGTTGTGGCTTGCACGCTGCTTCGTACAACTACACACTACACACACTTATTCAACATACTCCTACTACTACTTTGCCTTCCATTGTGGCTGGCATTTTTTTTGTGTGCTTTCGTTTGGTATTTACCGGTTGTAATACTACTTGTATTTTATTCACAATCGCTTAATGCTGCTTTGTTTTCAATTATTTTTATGCTTACATCTCTCTTTGCTTGTTGCTTAAATGTTTATTGCTTTTGTTTTGTTGCGGTTTTTTTTGCGACAAACGCAGTAATTTTTACGTTTTTCTATGTTTTACACCTCACTACTGTATGTTCATTCATCAGCAGCTGTAGTCGCTGTTTACATTCACCACACTTAGCTGATGAGTTTGAGCGCTCAACAGTTTTGCAACAGTGGATTTGAACAGCAGCACAATTAAGAACTCGTATTTCAGTAATACGGCAAATTGTGTAGTATTTCAGTGATTTTTTTTTAGAGAAAATTATTTTATGTTTGTGTTGACTTTAACAGAATCATTGACAACCAGCTGCAGACTACATCAGAAATATTTATTACCCTTTTCAAGTGTGCACACACTGTTCACAATATTTTATATGTGTTCAAGATAGTCTGCAGAACTGTTTTCTAAAAATAAAAATAAAAAATTCTTGGTGTCCTAACAATTTTTTAGCTTACCACTTATTTTAGTCTTTTATTGATGCCCACAGTGCCTACATTTTTAATTTCCTGCGTTACGCGCCTTTCTTTTGAACACAGAGTGTGACCAAATTAGCTAGCAGCCTTTATACAAATTGTATTCATTTTTAACTGAGTGGCAACTCTGGTCATTCAAATGGCTAACTTTGCGGCACGTTAGATTTCAAATTGATTATCTATTAAGAGAATTACCAGAGTCATTACGAACTTTAATTTCGTATCGTAAAGCAATATTTTATGTTGCATTTAGTTGGCCTTTGACTTGCCGCCTCTATAAATATTGAAACTAAAATTGAAATTAAACAAGCTCAGCTTCCGCTGTGGCTACTGTTCACGATCTTCGATCTTAACATAGATCGCGCATTGGTATCAAGTTTATTATGGCTAAATAATTGGCAAAGCGCATGCGGCGCACAATTTACGAGTACGCGAAGTCACGCTTTAGCCTGCCTTCTCCAGATACCACCTACGGATGCGCAGCCGCTGCTGCTGCGACTGCTGCTGTGACAGAAGTGTTTTTTGGCATGTCAAATGGCCGTTGAGCTGCAACCGTTTGCGCCGCCTTCTCTCTATCTCTCTCTCTCTCTCGCTCTCTCTCTCGCCCATTTGGCTGGCTTTTAATAACATTATGAAAACGCGTGTTTTACAGCTCATCAGAGTCGAAACGTTGCCGCATTGCTTGCATTTTTTCGTGCACTCTTTTTTTTTGTAGCCTGTCCATTCGCCCGACTGTCTGCCTGCCAGCCAGCCTGTTAGCCTGCCAGTTAAGAGTCAAGTCCTCGCACGGCTGGAGGTCGCTTGGGGGTCGTCGTCATCGTCGACAGCGGCGCCCTCCCATTGCGGCACCACGCAGCCACGCGCGTCGCCTTCTGCGCAACCGCAGCCACCGCAGCACCACAAAAGCCAGAAGCAGCAGCAGCAGCACACACACACATACACGTTTCTATATCTGTGTGTATTTATAAAGCTGAGCAGGCGTTGGCTGTGCCCGCGCAGCCTATAATTTTCCAATATGCAAATGTGTTGGCTTTGCGGTGTCTCAAAATGGCGCAGCGGCTGCCCAAGCACACGTGGGACGCAGCCAGAAGGACGACCGACTGCGCAATACTCTGGAAAAGAATCATCAATTGCCTCGTTTAACTTTGTAGCATGCACTCGACTGCGCCATACCCTGGAGTGTGCCTTCCTTATGACTTATTCCTTCTTTATGACTTCTTCTGCTTCAATTATTACAAAATAGTCTGCTAATGACGGCCAGTGCCTCTGAAACTTCGACCGAAATGACCAGTGACTTTCAAACTGTTAACTGTTTAACTGTTGCCCACTTTCCATTGGCAAAAACATTTATTATGCCTCAAATGATGCAAGTTTAAATAAAGTAAAAGTTTCTATATTGACAAGCTTAAGCTAATATGCCCCTTTGTGCTTCTGCAGAGCATATTAGGCAGAGAGCTAGCCGCGTCGTGCGCTCATTAAGGACAACAGCAGTTCAGGTCCTTTGAGCTCACTGTGCGTGCGTGTGTGTGTGTGGAGTGGCCAAACCATTGATAATTATGCAATTTTGCAGGACGACTAAACAAATTATTTTCACAAAATTAAATCTTAACTCGTGCTGGGCGCACTTCGTGTTTTTTTTCTTCTTTTCTTTGGCTTTTGTGATTGGAGAACACGTACGCCTTGTAACCTCAATTGTGGGCAATGGCAATCTTTGGCATGTTGCGGAGCGCCCGTGGATTGACATGTGGCAGGATGCTGAGCTTAAGATCTGGCTAACAGCTGCGGTCGACTTCCGTAGAGCGCGCAGCGCGTGCTCTAACAAAGCAGCTCCAAAAAAAACTTGTCGACCTCAGCGCAAAGCCAAAGCCAGACAAAAGCTGCGTGCTGCGAGACGACTCAAGAATAGCTCTAAAAGCTGATCGAGAGCTCGTTAAATGCGAATGCGAAACCCTCGACTTTCGAATGCGGTTCTAATGAAATTGGATGTGTGACATCGGCTAGACTATATAGCCTAGTTGGTCCAAGCAATTAGTGCTGTTCACTCATGCAACCATCTCAAATTAATTGATTTCTCTTTGCAGCTAATGAAGCTTTGTTTCATTATCAACTTTGAGTTGGTTTTTTTTCTTTCAGTTTCGTATTTTTGTTTATTGAATGCGCAAGATAAATGATTATTGAATACACTCAAATACACTCAAGAAATTTGTGCGCAACAAATTTTAGCGCATTGTTTCCCCAAAACGAATTGTTCAATACTCGAATCGATTTATTTTATGCCGCGCTCAGTCCATCTCTTTCGCTCTCTGTCTCTATCTCTATCTCTCTCTGGCAATTTCAATTACTTTGTGAAGGGCCTCCACTTGTTCACAGGTGTGAACTGGGCTTGCTCTCTCTCTCTCTCTCTCCCTCTCTCTCTCTTTGGTAATGAAAAAACGATAAATCATGGCACAAATGAAGTTTAGTTTTTTTTACATTTCTGTTGTTTTTTATGGTCGATTCCATATTTTATATATATCTCTTATATTTTCTGTTTGTTCCTTTATTGTAAAGTGTAACATTGATTAAGCATTATTAGCGTTGATTGTTGTTCTTCTTCTTGTTGTTGTTTCTCTATTCTCTTCGCTCTATTCTGTGCTGCGTTCCATTGTAGACACATTGGCCGCATTGTTGTTGTTGTTGCTGTTGCTGTGCACAGTGGGACACTTTCCATCATCAACACTTTGGAATGATGGAACGTTTCGTTGGTCAGTTCTGGCAGTGTTCCCCCCGCCCCAGCCGCTCGCACCCTCAGCCCCTTGGAACATGCGCCTGCGCCATTTGGGGGGCCCCACAATATGCTCGAGCATATTGATATATGTCTATTTGCTGTTGCTGTTGCTGTTGCTGTTCGATGTAAATCAAAATTGATTTTCTTTATAGCATGGGATAATGAAGTTTTTTTCGTTTTAATGAACTGTTGGATACGAAAACAAAGAAAAACGAACTGTTGCTGGACTTGCAGCCGGAGGATTAGGCGAGAGACTTTTCTAGCTAGCCTTGAACATGATGCTGGTTAAGAGCTGCTCGTCAAAGCGATTTAGTTTTATTAAATTTCATTAAATTTTAATTCATTTTCCAATCATGCTCCGAAATTACTTTCTCTAATGATTTCTAAATCGGTGGTGCTAAAGCTTTCGGATTAAGCTTCAAGCTGATTAACGAAAAGCTTACATTTACTCTCTGTAATGGATCTGGCTTTCATAATCTCTCTGAACAATACAAAAAACTTTCACTGAGGCCTTTTTACTCGTATTATTAACAATAATAATAACTAACAATGATTAAAATTTTATATACATACTTGTATCTGGTCTAATCTTTTAGAGGGTTAATATTTTTTTCATCATCAAGAAGTTGAGCCAAATTGGTAATTACTTAAAGCTTACTTGGCATTCGAAATAATATAAATAATATAAAATAAAATAATTGAAATACTACTGCGGTTGACATCCAGATATTGGGTATAAATTGGTATATATTGATATTTCGAATATATTGTATTGACATTTTGGAATATATACTTCATCTTTAGAATCTGCTAGAATCTAGAGCTAGATAACTTTGGTAAGTTGATTGTATTTGAACAAAAATATATATTGAAAACAAAAATAACATTTATTATTTTAGTATACTCAACTATTTGAGTTCGATTGAGTTTGATCGTCATTTAATGGGATTCGCCTTTGAGTTGATAATGAGATTTTGCCCCTAGAAAACCAAAAAATATTATATGAACAATTAAGCAGCTATTCAATTATTTTATTATTAATTTATATATACTTAAGAATGAAATTTGCCAAGATTTGTTGTCATTTGCAAAGAGCCAATTTAAGCCAACTTTAGTTAAAGCTTAACTTATTTGGCTATAAAGATATGAAAGCTCTGTGCGTTGTTCGTCAATCAATTCAGAAATAATTCTTTGTGAATACATAATATAATATTAATAATATAGATTAATTTATAAATATTTATTTATTATATATTATAATATTAACATATATATATATGTATATATATAATATAATATAATTATGCCTATGATTTTTCCAATGCTTAGGCCACAATTGTAAAACTTCTGCAATCTAATAAATCGTAGTTGAAGCATATTTAACAGCGCTGCCAAAAAGCTGACAAAACAAATAATGCAGAAATGCATGAGACAGCCAAAAAGCAG